CGACGCACGATTGGAGTTTACTCCTTACGAACGATAAAATGGCGATAATGTTCTATGGCTGTCGACCATATTTTCATACTAAAGGTGGTAAGAATATATGTTTTTATAATATAAATGTTTGTAGTAGTAATAAAACGTACCTACATCATCTATGCCCAAAAAGGATTTTCTTTCTGTGACCAAAGTTACCTTTATAGTAAGAGAAGAATAAGAATGAACAATCTTTTTAGTTTCAATTTCACTGACCATTACTATTGACAAAACTCTATGGCACGCTAGACAATCTACTTTTATTTTTTACACCTGCCAACACTGACAATGTTGTAACATGGCTGTCAAAACGTGAATTCAAAAGTATGTGTAATGTATTCCATCTCATTCTTTTACACGTTCAATCCATTTGTCTCTTTCTACATAACGCCTCAACTAACTTTTCGTGTTACACATAACGCCTCAACTTTTCGTGTTACACTTTATTTTACTCCTCATAAAATTTTCGTACCGGGCCTTATAACTCAAATCGTTTCTTAAAGAGTAAACTCCAAAAATAATAATTAAATATAAAATTTTATTTATTTCCTATTTTAATTCGCCCAGCGGGCGGGAACAGGGTATTTTATTATATTGTGAAAATTCGTGGAATGTCAACTGTTTGAGAACTGTCATTATAGTTTTTCTAAATAAATTCTCTCATGACAGTGCTTTAGACGGTTGTAATTTGGATACGTGTTATAAACCAGAATTCGTTTCTATTTGACAAGATTTTAAAAACCATCAGATTATTTATTATTGAATTAACAAATTGTAATTTTTATCTATGAATAGTATTGCCTTTAAAAATTCAACATAAACATTCATAATTTCAAGAAGCCAAGACGCTACTCTTAACAAGATGGCGTCGTACCAGTCCCTATGAAGTACCACACCGTAAAAAAAAAGTGAAGTTTTACGTGTAATTTACACGTAATAATCACATCATTCGTAAATAACACAAAAATATTCTGATATAATGTCGTCTCCGACGAAATTAAACTCCAGGATGTTTATTTATTAACTTTTCGCTACCTTAATCATACATTTAAAAAAAGCAGGTTAAATAAGTTATAAGGCAACTGTCGGCCGTATCGCTAACAAGCGGTTTCTTACAGCACCCTTAAAATAAGAAAAATAAAAAAAACACCGCCAAAAAATGCATAAATAATTAACAAAAAGGGAACATGTTACAGTAACTAAAACTAAACTAAACTAAAGAAAATAATATTAACAAAAATATAAACGCTAATCTTAGGGTCAATGAGTCACAATTAATATATACATATATAAGTGGAGTAGACGAATGCTCAAAATTTTAAGACAGTTTATTAGGATAAGAATTGGAAGACATATTATTTACAGCATAGTATAGCGTCCTTCATCATCGTTGATTCGACTAAACTGTAACCGTTTTGTTAGGTGACTGGCGTATGAAAATCTATTTTTTTGTTATATTTTCGCGTGTTAAAGCCATATTTTACTCGGATTACTCTCAATAACACTTTATTTTTCATTCTGTCAAGTGGCCTATTTTAATACTCTGTATTATTATTTATAGTAACGGGTATACGTGACCTGGTGTGGCTGCCAGTGGAGCAATGGCGAAGAGACGGTCGCTTAGTTCACGGCTTAAGGCGTGGAGCGGCCTCTTTCACCGCTCGTACTGCTGTCGCCGCGCTAGACATTACTGCAAGGATATTGCATCTCATACAGGTATTATCGGTATTTGGAATTTATAAAAGTTGTTATGGTGTATCACGAAGTTTGTACTTCCAAGGAGATTTGCTTTTAGCCATAGAACATAGAGTAGACAGAAATGTATTTTTATGTTCTGTGTTCTACTCTGTGACACTTAGCGCGTTAAAGAATATATGGAAATTATTTTATCGTCAAATTTTGTTTCTTATGTAGAATGTACCAATTTATCCTTGTGAGAATCATTAATTATATATTAATGATTATAGAAGTCTTGAAGAATATTAGGATTTTTTTATTCTAAACTAAACTTTGAAACAGATTATCTTTGTAATTAAATAAAGTATTTAAAAATTACATTTGATTCGATGTAGTAACAATGTCGTGCTTTTCTGTACTTTATACAAGGTTTTCGATACTATACGTCAATTGTAAAAAAAAAAATATATTATAGTAGGTATTAATAAAATGATGCTTTTCTGTACTTTATACAAGGTTTTCGATACTATACGTCAATTGTATTATTCTTCATAGCTCCAGCTAATTAGTTATTTATTCACAGGCAACGGCAGAAACAGCATTCGACATGTTGACACCGGCGCCTGCGCTGACAATGGGATACGAGAGGCGTGAAAGACGCCGCAGACGTGACCCCGCAAGACAGCCCACTGATATAAGGGAGGGGGTAACGAGCGCATATCATACTGTCAGAGATGTGAGTAAACAATATATTTTATAGTACAGAGTTAAATATTAATTTACATAACCTTTATAATTTACATAACCATTTAGATAACCTTCATATTCTTTGTAATTTTAAGTTATCCGGAAATACGGGCAGTGGTCGGGTGCTACTTGTGTTGACTGGTCGTACTTGAATTCGTGAATGGGGTGATTAGTTATTTCGACTATGTGTTTGCGTATTGTTCCCACGAGAATGTAAGTGCGTGCTCCTATTTCACCATGCCTCCTGCTGATAGAGGACAAGTCTTTGTTTTTTTTTATTTATGTTATTATTATTAATAACTTAAGAATTAAGATGTCATGTGGAACATGATGTAATGGTTGCAGCTCCTTACAAAAAACGTCGTGTAAAAAAAACATGGCGATTAAAAAGAGTGGCGGAGAGTTTATTGCCAATTCTTTTCTTCCGTTCTACGCCCTTGATTTGAGAACTGGCAGTCAATGTAAAGTTAGAAGCATTTCATATATATATTTTTTTTTGATGATCCTAAGTGTAAATTGTGTTACCTATATGATTAAATGATTTTTGAATTGAATTGGTCTAAGATTTGTTTAATATAATTAATAAAGAACCCAAAATACCACGTAATGGAAGACATGTTTCGACTTTGACAGTTGCCAAAACGCCACAGACCAGATATTCACTCCACACGTAATATTTAATTTAAGTAATCAAATTGATTATGGTGTTAAGTCACAAACCTGAAACATGATGCTGAGTGATTCCTTTTACATATAACATATTTTTAGTTGTCTTTCTATATTAAATAAAAAAAATATTACGTAATAAATTAATATCAGGGTTTCGCGGAGACGGCAGCAAACATAACAATGGCAGCCCGGCGTGGGCGTGGCACGGGCGTATTGCGTCAGTTGCCGGGCGCGGCTGTCGCGCCTTTAGCTCTCGCGGCCGCCGGTGCAGCGGACTTTCTGGGCGGGGTCAGAGCCGCCTTGGCCCCGGAACTGTGCAGGGACCACGCTGATAAGTGGCGGAGGACAGACCATAACGGTAACATTTATTTTCAATAATATTTATTATAAACTTTAGCAGATGACAACAAGCAGTGTTGGCCAAGTGGCTTCAGCGTAGAAACAAAGAAATTCCCCATACGGGGGTAATGAGACAAGAAAAGATTTTCAACTTTCATACATTAAAAAATCATGGGTTCATGAAATAAACGCTAAGTTCTTATTTCAGATACAACAGATTAAACCTGATTGGTCTCCAGATTCTAAACGGTGAAGGAAATAAAAATTATATAACTCGAGCCTAATTTTATATATAGTGATTTTTATATATTTACTGAACAAATTGTGTAACAATTGTTTTGAATTTGCCCCAAATATTACCAGCAGGGTGTTTGCAACTATTTTACTCTCTTATCAACATCTCAAATTCTCTGGGCCTGAATAGGATATCAAATCCAAAATTCAAATTCTTAATTGATATTACAAAATAGTTTTTGTTTCTAAATATTTACATATTCTGTATAAAAAGGAAGTCATACTTAGTTTTGACTCTGAGTCAAATCTGTGTCTCAAGTCACAAACTCGTCTTGAGCGCTGTCAAATATGTCAAACTTCATACAAAAAATTTGATAGCTCTTGAGACTAGGTTTGATTGACGTTCTAAATACGGCCTGAATCTTTAAACGGCTGCAAACCCTGTATCAATGGTGTCGATTCCGATATGAACAAGACAAACTTTTTGTCTTGTCAAACATGTCGATTATATTCTGAAAATCACTAGTTTGACAGAACAGTTACATCAGAATGGTCACTATTGTTTGGTATTTATATTATGATACTCAATATTTTGCTATTTAAAACATCACTTTTTCATATACATAATTTTGTATTCATTGTGTCCTTTGGGTAAAAAGGGCTCAATTTTAAATTGTAAATATACAAGGTGCTTAAACATTTCTCTAGCATTTTAGAGCATTTAGTATATAATTTATGTAGTATGTAAATAAAGAAAATATTTTAAAATTGATTAGATTTTTCTTCAAATATGGTTACCTATATTGGCAAGCAGAATTTTACCTAAATGTGATATTTAGAAACTATAATAAACATTTTAATTTTATATAGAAGTATGGATTTTTATGTTCCAATTTATGTTATAATTACATGTAATGATAATGAATCATTTCTATTCAAATAAATAAAAAAGGAAAAATAAGGTTTTTATTTACTGTGGATGAAAAGTCAATAAACTCACCTAACATAAGTGGCGTTTAGACAAATATATATAAGTACGTGAACTGATGTCAGCACCAAGCGACCTAAGGTAACAGATTGAGCCATACAGGTTGAAGGAGGTGGGATTTTCTCAAAGCTATCGCGCGTACTCAACACGATAATTAAGGGCCTGAAGGAGACTTCATCACTTCGTCTGATTTATTTTGTATAAATCAAACTTTATATACTACTTAATAAATAAATAAATATTTGGTGACAAATAATCAATTCATTAAACTTATCAAATAATTTATTCTAATATCTACATTAAAATTACTAAACTATTAATCATCTTTCTCAACTTTTTCATCTGGGTATTTGTCAGTTAAAAAGCTTTTCATCTCTCCATACTCGACTTTAAGGTTGAGGCGAATTTTCTCATGATTTCTGTACCTTTCAAATTTCTTGAGGTATAGCTCATAATGTGGCATTGTTTTGTAAAAAGGTGGAAATTTCTTTTTCTTTAATATAACTTTATCATTCATAACATATTGTATGAAGTCCAGGGTTTCGTCTTTTGGTATTTCCTCTTTTGTCCTAACTTTTGAGGGACTAGCTACAACCATTGGGTAGAACTCATTCTCATCCCTAAACTCTACTAGATGTAATTTCTTTTCTTCGGCCAATTGTTGATGTGATCGCTGTAATTTAAATAGATCAATATTATTGAATGGCTCTTAATAATATGTATTGACAGTTTTAATCACTGTTTATAAATACAAGTCATATCATAATAAAAAATTAGAGCCAAGTTTTGACTCCTAGGGTGACATTGAAATGAGTCCAAAACATATGGGATTTTAACATACTGGAGTCATGATCATGCTAAATCTCATAGCATCTTACCCAAAAACCTTTAAAAAAAAAGTCCTTGTTTCCTTATCTTGTCCTTTATTATGGTAGGGGAGCCCACGATGCTAAATGGGGATTTACTCGAGCGTCGTAGAGACCTATTGGGATGCAAAGCTTAGATAATAAGAAGAAAAAAATGTTATATGATAAATTCCTTTTCATCGGTGGGGGGAAGCGGCTATAGATAGTTAAATATGTAAAAAAACTGTTGCATGGACATCCTCGAGCGCGTCAGATATTGATAGCATCTATGCCCTACGTATTTTTAATAATGTACGTATGTTAATCTGATCGTTTGCATGATGCGGGTGGTTGTATTTAAGGGTTGAAAATGAAAAAAAAAAAATTTTATCGAGCGCGTCAGATTTTCTAAGGGAGTGTTAAGTGCACCAAAAAAAAGCTCTCATTCACTAATCTGACGATTTCGATGGGACGCAAACCCACAGCCATTTTCATAATTTGCAAAAAAAAATCGCAATTTTGAAATACTCAAGCGCGTCAGATTAAGATATATGTGGTTCATCTTTATGTTCTAAACGTACTGTCTCATAATCTGACGATTATCTAGAGGGATTCGCCTGATCTGACAAAAAAAATTTAGAAAAACGGTTCACCTAAAGGGCCATCCCTGCAACTTCCCGCTAATTCCATTCCTGGGCGCTTAAAATTGATATTTTGAGCTCGCTGAGTTCAAAGAAATAAATTTTATGATTTGAGCTCTCCCAGCTCGAAAGTCTGATAGAAGTTTCATAGAACACTATTTTTGGAATTTTCAAACCGCAATAACATTTGAATGGATCAAGCAATTTTCACGCGGTTGGCGGCATTCGACGCAGTTTTATCATCCTCATAAGTAATTTTGCAATTTTAATTGATCGAACCACAAATTTCGGAGTAATCCCGAATAAACACTTTTTCGGGTTTCTTTCGTTCACGATATCTCTCGAACGAATCAACCGCTTTTGACCAGTTAGTGGGATAACGTGGTTTTAGCTCAAAGGGGATTAGTTTTGAAGTTGATGATAAAGAAACCACTTTAAAAAAATATTTCTTAATTTTTTAAGATTTTTCAAAATTTCTCAAAATCTATCGTTTCGAATCGGTTCAAATTCACAGGAAATTTAATTTTGAGGGAAATATTTAGAACGCCGTTTAGTAGATTCCGATCGGTTTAAGGAAATGTAGGCATCACGCAGCTGCACGCATTTAACTTTATCGACGAATTTTTGTTATTTCGGCTTGCGGAAATGTCAGATTATATATTTTTCATTATTCTTGATTTATTTCCTTCAAAATAAAAAAAATTAGCTACGCTCGAGAATGTCGAGATGACGTTTTTTTTTACAACTTTGTTGCCCTCCCTTTTTTCCGTCACTCTCAAATTGTCAGATTAGTGGAATATACACTTTTTAGGATGTAATTAACTCACCCTACCTTAATCTGATGGCTCGGGAATTTCTGATGGTCAATTTTTTTTACTAATTGATCTGTCTCCTTCACAGGGGCTTATATATGGACCTCATGTTTTGTGGAGGTACTTAACCGAGTACAAGCTATCCCCTGTATATTAATCTGGGTTTAGTAAATCCCGAAATCCCTCTTGGGCTCCCTCCATTATTTATTGTAATATTAAGAATATATAAAGCATTTAATCAATACCTGTTGTAAAAGACCAATAAAGAAGGCCTTTACAAGGTGCTGTAAATTATTTGATCCTTCCACTTTAGCTCTAAGATCCTTGATACCGATCGCTTGGCATATCTCTTTGATAGCTCTATGTACCATTAAACCATAACCTTCATTCTGCTTTTGTACAAAGATTTTAGTTTTCCCAAATGCAGTATAGAAATCATGGTAAACTGAAATCAAAAGCATAAATAATTTTGACACATATTATTAGCCGCATAGCTAATACATTTAACACACAACACATAGTGAGTTCAGAAAATTTTAGGCTGAAATTTCTATTATATCTAGATTTTCTGATTGTTTCATGGAAACAGAAAAGAATTTTAAGGGAAAACCTTTTCTCTCTTTATGAAACTATACTGATATTTTCAGTTGTACATAATAAAAGTTGTCAATATACCTGTATGATTATTATAAATATCAAAGTGCATCAATTTCTTCCCAGCCCTGTTTTTAGCTTTTCTTAAAGCGGCTGATGCTTCTTTTGCCCTGCCTAAGCCAAATCCTGCTAAGCCTTGACCATTACCCGTTACTACCTAAAATACCAAAAAAAATTATACAACAGTAGTGGTAGTATAATAGTAGTACTTTAAATTCATTATAACAAAGACTTTACCATAGCTTGATAATTTCTTGTTCGTCCAAGGGTTCCTTTCATAATAAGTAATGACCTCAATTGAAGAACTTTTGTTTCAAATCCTGTAAATTCCTCTGAAAAAATAATAATATGCAGTTGCATAAAGAAGTTTATTTAAGTTTTATAGCTACTTTTTAGTCTTGAATGTCTTTTTGTGAAGAAATTATTTTGACTTATTAATATAAAACTACTTGTACTCATAAAAATAATGTTACCCACCACCAGCAACTGGATCAGGGGGCCCAAGGCTACGTCCTGGCATCCTCACACCAGACCAACCTCTTTCTATAGGACTTAATTTTAATCGTCTAAACTTCGTCATAGAATCTCTTAATTTGATAAGCTTTTCCATTCTATGAAAAATAGATAAGTATTAGTATAATCAACATTACATATAAAAAATGCTATTAAACCATAATTACCTCTCTGGATCATCAGGTAATCTTTGCTGTTTAAGTAGCTCCCTCCCACGTATTACAGGTGCAGAAAGTCCAGGCCATAACATGTTTACTTTTCCTACACCAATCATTTGCCCTCGGTTCAAATCCCTAATGCGAATTCGTCCAGCCCCTTTACCACGTCCTTTCTTGGCTCCTGCATTACTTACAGACGTTACTGATTTCCATAGCTTTTCAGCAGGTACTAAAACATATGTAGTGTGTTGTGGTGTGCATAAAATTCCTTATATTTACATATGGTGTTGAAATAACTTACATTTATTGAAAAAATTTACACAAAAAACCGGAGATGTGCTGATACATTTAAGGTTATTAATATTAAATGAAACTGGCTGCTTTAGTAGAGCTTTAAACGGACTATGAACAAAATTTTTAAGAGCTAATATTTTAGTCGCCATGGTGGTATATTATTATTATATAGAATTAACAACTTATATTGACATTAACATTTCTAAATAAAATCCAAAAAATATCAACAACATGAAAATTAACACAGAAAATATGAATTAAGAAAACCATAGATCACAAAGTAAACTAGTACAGAGTACTACAGGCTACAGCGTTCTGACTTCAGAATTACAGATAACGTGAGGTATACAGTATACACGAACATATTTGAAGGATTGTGTCTTAAGTCAATGAAGTGAAATGACTGACATTTCATAGTTCCAATCGATTTTGACAACAGACGTGGCTGTCGGCTGCTGATTCAACGATCACGAAACGCGAATAGCAATGTTTGTTTTATAAAGTTCTGCGATTTCAAAGGGTACAATCATTTCATCTTGTTAAACCATATGGAAGTATGTACGTAGTTGTTACTTTATGATCTTAATTTTGCAACTCCACCGCGGCCATGGGTCTTTGCAAGTGTCCGAAAAGAAGAGTGACCAACCAATTTTGCTTTGAACATCGAGTTAATGTTTGTGAATATTGTATGGTAACAAATCATCCAAAGGTAATAAAGACGTTGTGGTAATTCATTAGTATTTATGTGTAGTTTTAAGGCCTAGCAAATTACAAACCTTACCTTTTATATATTTTCAGTGCATCATACAATCCTATCTCCAATGGTTACAAGATAGCGATTACAATCCTATTTGTGAAATTTGCACAAAAAGCTTAGCTGAAGGCGAATGTATACGACTGACATGCTATCGTAAGTTTGATTTGTACTCTATAAAATACACAATTTTCTTAAGATTCTTATTCTTTATTTTATCTGTAGATGTATTCCACTGGGAATGTGCGGAATCCCGTTACCGTGCCTTACCAAGGACTACAGCACCTGCTGGATATCACTGTCCTTCTTGTGCCACACCTGTGTTTCCGCCACCTAATTTAGTATCTCCTGTTGCTGATGTTTTAAAGGAAAAGTTAGCTGGTGTCAACTGGGCTAGAGCTGGCCTTGGTCTACCATTGGTATGATTATAGTTTTAAAGATAACATATTATATACATGGCTAGAAGGTTTTAATAAGTATTATATCCAGCTTTCAGATGAACAAGACCTGAAAGGAGCATCATCTAGACGCAGCCAGTCCCCAATGGAACAATCTAATTACTTCATAAATTCTATTGACACTCAACGTGGAACTCCAGTGGGTGCAAGCGATGATGAAGCTATAAGCCGATCAGCTACAAGTTCACCACATTCTATTGTGCAAATATCAGATGAACCAGCTAATATATATGATAATACCTCTGTTAAAAGGGCTGACAATCTACAAGGTACATTTTATATTCTTTGCTTTTAAACATTTGACTACTTTTGTGTGACTTAAAAGTAGTATAACTTGAATTTAATTTAAAGTTTCTGCGTTCCTTTTATAGAGAGCATATTTCTCTCATTAGAGGATCTATTAGTAAACATTCTTATTATGTTTTGTGGAGTTTCCTTTCAAGTAAAGGTTATGTAAACATTCAGGTAATTTAAAATTCCAGGTGCCCAAATACCAAGGAAAACTTATAAAACAGATGAAAATTCCAGGCCACTTTCGAATTTTGATCATGATGAGAATAAATACAAACAGAAATCCACGTTTGCGTGGATTAGCAGATGGTGGAAGTGAGTATATTCATGATTATTATGCAAACACCATGCCAATGCTGGGTTTATATAAATTTTTCTAAACAAAAACCTAAACTAGTCTTAAATCTCATATTTTTTAATAATATATCTAATATATATCAATAATTGTTTAATTTAAATTGGTATACTTCCAGAAATTCTTTACCTTCTTCACGAAACCGAAGAGGTGGTGGCATTTACAAGCGGTATTGGATAGCATTATTTGCTATTGTTATCTTGGTTATTGTATTATGGCTTTTGAGTAAAAGAGGAGTAGATGATGAAAATCCATTTGGTGGTATACAAGATGATGACAGAAGAATACTACAGAAAAATTAATTAAATTAATTTATTAATAACAATAATATTAAACAAATAGCATAACTATTTATAAAATCAAGCAATTTTCAAATGTTGTATATGAATTTGAGACAATTTTGTGCAAAAGCTGTACAACTGATGTAATAAATTATACAATATATAAGTGTATTATTCATTGCCTATTAAACAGATATCACATACTTAAATTATTTGTGTGCAAGTGTCTACTTGTTTATTAAGAAAAAGAAGTGAAAATATGTCATTATAAAAATCTGAATAGTAGTCACAAGCTCTATTACAGTCTGGCATCCAATTGACTTCCAGAAGCTTGGGTTGTATTGTTTTCTCTCCATTGTGTTCATGCCAGGAAAGCATTATGTCAGCTGCATAAAGTGCTCTTGACTGAGGACTCTGTGCTATTCCAAAAGGTGGGGGCTTAGAAGTTGCAGCTTCAAATAGGTCTTTAAACATTTCAAAAATTGATTTCTCCACTTCACTCCATTTAAAATCACCATATTGTTCAGACCACGCCCTCTTAAAGTCATCACATAACAGTCTATACAAGGAAACACCTTCTGCATAATTCATAACAGTAAAATGTTTTTCGTAATCATCAAAATCACATAATTCAAATGCTTTATTAGCAAATCTCAAGAAAAAGTTGTTGTAAATGTAGACTTCTGTAGGATTAACTGATTTCAACAATATTACATAACGCAAATCAAACTTTACTGCTCCTATGTCTGGTCTTTGAAAGAGCACAGGTGCTTCGATATACTTTTGAGCTATCTTTGGACCTGTCAATGGCAAATGACAAAGAAAGTCTAAATTATCAGTAATGTATGTGTCAAGACTCCTCGCAAGGTTATATGGTTTACAGATCCAGTGATTATCTAAACCAAGTCTTTTTCTTTGCATGTAATAAGCAACCATTTTTGGTAGTTCAGTTTTCATATTAAATGTAGTAGGTAGCCATAATGGGCTTGTCCCTAACTGAGACATGTTAACTTTCTTATCTGAACACCTTCTTGCCACAATTGCTAATAAATCTTTTACTGTGAAAACATATTCAAATGGAAATTGGTTAACAAACTTATTAGGAAAATCAATACTTAATTCCTTAAAAGCTTTAAAATGACTAGTGAACCACAAAATATCAGCATCATTCTCATTATCAACAATTTCAAAGTGACTTGATGTGAGATGTTCATTTATAATTCTATATTCTGAAAATACCTTCAAGGGTTGATCTGAAATATTTCTGTTTTCCAAGTTATTCAAATCTGGCAGTGATTCAACCAAGTGACCCTCCAAAAAATATTTTCTGTTTGGTTCTTCCTGAGTAAAATCATCATCAAAGTGCTCGTAGCATTTCCATGGAATGAGCATTGCCTCTCTTTGCAGAGGATCTTGATATTGACCTTCTACAAAATTCCTTGTAATAGTATCTCCTTCTTCAATATCTTTGGTAGGGAAGAGAATGGTAAATGTTATCTGCGTAGGCACATGTATAAAAGGGACTGCCCGAAAATTTGGGTTGTCGGAATGTGTAATTCCAGAACCCAATTCATCCATAATGTACCAAACAGGTACTCTATCTTCAACTGAAAATTCATCACCGGCAATAGAATATGTGTTTGCATATTTCCATACACACTTTGCAACTTCTTCAATTTTCTCTTCAGTTCCATCACAAGAGATTTGCATCAAATTACACATTCTTTCTAACAGACTGGGCACATTTCTCAAGTTAGCTTTGATGTTGTTAACTTTAAATGTCCATGCATGATCAATGAGATAAATATGAGTCGGATCATTGACATCTATATCGCATATTGCCATTACACTCCATAAAGGGTCATATGGTCGTCTTTCGCTATCTTCGTAATCAATTTGGACTAGTTGAAAGGCTAAGCCAGAGTCAAAAATCTGGTCTTGCAGTTTTTTACATAGCGTATGCCAGTAATGTTCAGGTACTCCCGAAAGGACAAGTTGCGGTTTATGAACAGCCAAAAAAGCGTTATAGTTCGAGACCCCATCCATCTTCTAACCCTAACTACTATACTAAAAATACCAAAATTTTCCAATTCAACAACTTATCGTCAACAATTAGGAGTCCACTATTACCAGTAAGATGTTTTAAACTTTAAGATTATTTTTTAAAATTTTATACCTAACTAAAGTCTAAACTCTAAACCATACCTTTGATCTCAACGATTCTCGAAGTACCGAACTCCGAAGTAGGAATGTAAAAATTAAATTCCTTTAAGATTTTTGGCATTGATCTTTCCTTCAAATAAGAAACTGTCAATAATATGTTATACCACAAATGTCAATTCATGTGCATATGTAACAGATTATGTCGTGCATAACAGTCATAATACAAATAAGTATTTTTGAAACGACTAGAAACACCGGAGGAGGTGATCAAGTCAAAGTGTATTTTTTTTTGTGTATGTTCAAGCATAGCATAGCAAGCTCGCCGTAGACCGATCGCAGCACATAGGTCCCTTAGACAGGATTTTGTAATCAGACAGTTTCAGGTTGTTAAAACTACTTACTATTCATGATAAACCAAAAATAGCGTCACCGCGTCGTGATTATATGTAATTAGTTAACTAACCGATAACGACGAATAAATTTAAGATAAATGGAGGCGTGCATTGATAAAATATAATTATATTTCCTGCGCTATAGCGGGTTATCTCACAGAGTACCTTTTAGTCACTCTTATTAGGACCTGCAAATCTCAGACGTACATAATATATCCAATAAAAATTATATGGCGGATAAATGGCCAAAAATTATATGTATAAAGTCGATTGTTGTACCATGTAATTATTTTGTTTATAATTATTTCTCTTATAATTTTTGTAAGTGGAAAATAGAGTAAATAAATAAATATAACATTTATAATAATTTTTATTACACTTAGTATAATTCCATATTGACTATGTTTAAAATTTGAACTCTTTGTACTTCTTTGCTTGCTTTGAGTCCGTGTTCTGTTGGCGCTTTCTTTTATTCTGAAAAATAAATAACTTTTTTAATTAAAGTTAACATTAAACATTCAATAATTTTTTTCATATTATATATTCCATTTTCCCTGATATTTTTTTAATTAATATTCTTTTATATCAAATGTAAAATCTAATTTTACCTAACCGATACAAGCACTCTGCCATAAATAATATATATCTTATCTGATGTTGTATGTCAGAATTAATTGGGTTACTTTTTTATACATACCCAAATGTTATTTTGAATAATTGTCTAAATTTATCAAATATCTAAATATTGTTAAAAAGAATATTCAATATACCAACCATAGCTGTTATAGGGCGCAGGGTTTGCTCGCGAGCGGTCCGTGTATTGCGAATATGAATTTAGTATGGAAACTGCAGATCGCCGTACGGCGACCGCATATTGCAGTCGGTCTTGACTGCAACATGCGGTCCGTCTATGGTCCGCTTTAAAAGGCTAATTTTAAAAACCATAACTACCTTTTGGCGAGCGACGTGGTCCGCCAGCATGTCAGACAGGTCCTCCCGCTTCGAGGGGCGTTGGTCTCTCAAATGTCTTTCATATCTCGCTGCCACTGCCTCCGGTTCTAATTCCAGCTCTGAAGGGTCCAAAGCCACTTCCACTACTCCAGGATTAGTTGCCACTCCACTGCTGGCATCGGCCGATACTCGCGCTTTGCCTGATAAAGAAAAATCATAGAGTCCTGTATAATCTGTGCGGTGGAACAGAATGAAAAACGAAACGTTTCATTTGATTGAGTCTGGTCAACAGCATCTCTTACCCATCACGCGTTGCTTTTGACCAATCACAAGCGAACGTTTCGTCTTGCGTCTATTGTTTTACATTCTAACCACAAGAGTCTTGGTTAAGCCTTTTTTGACATCGTATTAAAAATTGCAATTATTTATATAAAACAGTTAAATGCTGAATAAATTTCTATGATGTAGACATTAGAATACAATTGAACGTAAATTATTAACCAGTTTGTTTATATTAGTGCCATTTTTATAAAATAGTTGTTGCAACTTACTACATTTTGCTAGGTACGGAGTCAAATAAAATTAAAATGTATACAGGCCCCCCCAAAGGGGGGGGGGAAAGGGGGGGGGGGGGGGGGGGGGGGGGGGGGGGGGGGGGGGGGGGCCGCGGCGCCCCGCGGGGGGGCGCGGGGGGGGGGGGGGGGGTTGGGGGGGGTGTTTTTTTTTTTTTTTTTTTTGGGGGGTTTTTTTTTTTTTTTTTTTTTTCCCTCCCCTCCCCCCCTTCTCTCCCTCCCCTTTTTTTGTGGCGGTTTTTGTCGTGTGTGGTTTTTTTTTGGGGGGGGGGGGGGGGGGGGGGGGGGGGGGTTTGGTTTTGGGATTTTTTTTTTTTTTTTTTTTTTTTTTCTTTTTTTTTCCCCCCCCCCCGGGGGTGTTACCCCCCCCCCCCCCGGCCCCCGGGTGGGCCCCGCGGGGGGGGGGGGGGGGGGGGGGGGGGGGGGGGGGGGGGGGGGGGCCCCGGGGGGGGGGCGGGGGGGGGGGGGGGCGGCCGGGGGGGGGGGGGGGGGGGGGGGCCCCCCGTGGGGGGGGGGGGGGGGGGGGGGCGGGGGGGGGGGACCGGGGGCCCCCCCCCCCCCCCCCCCCCCCCCCCCCCCCCCCCCCCCCCCCCCCCCCCCCCCCCCCCCCCCCCCCCCCCCCCCCCCCCCCCCCCCTCCCCCCCCCCCCCCCCCCCCCCCCCCCCCCCGGGGGGGGGGGGGGGGGGGGGGGGCCCCCCCCCCCGGGGGGGGGGGGGGGGGCGGGGGGGGGGGGGGGGGGTCCCCCCCCCCCCCGGGGGGGGGGTCTCTCCCCCCCCCCGGGGGCCCGCCCCCCCCCCCCGCCCGCCCGGGGCCGGGGGGGGGGGGGTTTCCGGCCGGGGGGGGGGGGGGGGGGGGGGGGGGGGGGGGGGGGGGGGGGGGGTTTTGTTTTTTTTTTTTTTTTTTTGGTTTCCCCCCCCCCCCGCACAACATGGGGGGGGGCGCGGGCCGGCCGGGGGGGGGCCCCCCCGGGGGGGGGGGGGGGGGGGGGGGGGGGGGGGGGGGTGGGTGGGGGGGGGGGGGGGGGGGGGGGGGGGGGGGGGGGGGAAAAAAAAAAAAAAATTTCCCCCCCGGGGGGGGGGGGGGGGGGGGGGGGGGGGGGGGGGGCTTTGGGGGCGGGGGGGCCCCTTCCCCCCCCCTTGGGTTTTTTCCCCCCCCTTTTTTCCCCCCCCGTATATTCATATTGGGTAATGTACACTCATGAACGCCCAAAATTTAAAAAAAATTAAGGTCGTAGAGCGGGCGAGAAGAACTGGCAAGAAACTCTCCACCACTCTTTTTAATCGCCAAGTTATAAGTTTACAAGAAAATTGACACCATGATGATGATAAATGACCAAACATAATAAATTAAGCATTTAAGTATTTTGTCTCCAACAATTTTCAGAAAAATTATGCATAAAATAACGATTAGAGCCTACAAAAAGACATAGAAGGAATGACACCTCTTTTTCTTTATGACTTATTTGTGACGTCACTGTAGTTATCACCATCAATGCTTGCCTGATGAGCAAAACGTTAACTGTCATGTTTATTTAAGCTCAACACATTGACATTTAGACTATTATGACGGTAATACGGTAGGAATTTTCAAAACGGAATAAGGAATTCGATGCCTTAAAATAATCGACTTCCGATGTCAATTTTGTTTGAAACAATATTTTATATGCAAACTAGCTGACTCGGCCAAGGTTTTTATTTACATAGTAGTAAACTATTCAAGGGAAACGGTAGGAGAACACCAGTTATGCCATGTAGCGTAGGTAGCGTTCAAGTATTACGTAACGAATTTTGGGAGGGGGGGTCCTTTTGTAAAACGGGGATGCGGGGTGGGGATTGAATTACGCGTTATTGTTAATGTTATTTTCGACTTTCCAGTACTTTACAGCACATTAATGTTAACTTATATATAAGATATAAAGAGTCACTGGGTGGTCACGAAACGTTTTACTATTGGGTACAGAAAAACGTTACAGCGCGTTACACGGGGGAGGAGGGTACTTAATTTTCAAAAATTGCGTGACGTAATACTTGAACGCTCCCTTATGTGAAACGTTGGTACTTTCAACACAGCGCCATCTGTTAGAATATTGTGACTGTCAAATAATAAACAAATAATTTGCAATAAAATAATATTGCGGATATAAATTAAGATGTTAGCTATCCTATCTTTTAAGTAAGGAAAACTGCACACGGTGTGCAAATTTAATTGAAATCGATTAAGTAGTTTAGGAGTCCATAGCGGACAAACAACGTGACGCGTAATTTATATATATTAAGATTAGCCTAATCTAAGGATATGAGCAATTGATGACTGGTAAATTTAATTCTAAGGAAATCCTCACCTGGGTTAGCCGCATTAATATCATACACGTGAGTGGAAGCCATCATTCCGGCAGTGAGACCGACACGTCGCTCCGGAAGCACTTGGTACAGGGCTGGAGTCTCTCCACTACAAAAAAAATTAAAGATTAAGAAGGTACTTCTATACTAGCAGAGATTTACACTAAGGTAAATTTTATAATATTTTGAATTGTTAATGATATATACAAAAAGAAAAAAAAAAGGGTGCGTGTACTTATGTACGCACGTCAGAAGTTATACTTCTTTGGCATTATTAAAAATAGTTTTTGATTGCATGCAAATAATTAATTACAATTAAATAATCAAAGACTGAAAAAGGAGTCATTATAGTTAATAAAGTTCAGTTTACATTTGAAAAATTAAATAAATACACTATTCTCTTACATTCAGTGTAACATAAATTCTATTATTATTCGAATGTTGTTTTAAAAGTATGTCCAATGCCGTAGCATCTTCCGTGGGCAACTTCATTCTGTTAATTTTATGTAACGGTGCGCGCGCATCGTAAAATTTCACTCTTATCAATTTTTCATAACGCGCCTAAAGAAGTATAACTTCAAAAATCTTTAGGAAGCTCTCAGTGTTTGTATACAAAAAGCTTTTTAGGAATACATTAGAAATTATAGACTTTTAAAATTAAAAAAAATATTACTAAAAAGAAAACATCAAAATTTAAAAAAAAACTTACCCTTCAACATCATCCAATTTCTTCTTCCTAAGCTCAATAGTGTCTGGAGTCTCCAGGCCAGGGGGAACAGAGGAAATGCCCAGGGGAGTGACAAGTCCCTCCCCTGGTGTAGCCACTCCAGTGGCCACGTCAGGCTCGCCCATCTTCTCGCCTTCATCCGATTCCTCTGTAAACGGGGTTAATAAAATAATATTGTAATTGTCAAACAGTAATGTCACAAATTCTTCGGGTTCTGGGATAGGATTTTTTTTTTACAAGTGGCAAAGGACAAGTATATCATATAAGACAAGCATATAATATTTCATGGAAATCTGTTCAGTAGTTTTGCGTAAATTAAGGGAATGTTGATTTCTCTAAGAAAATTAAGTAAAGTAAAAATTATACCTTCTTCCGACTCCTCTTCAGATTCAGATTCTAATTCACCCCACAATGTTCTGTCTATGTCCTGATCTTCATTGTCCTGAGAAATAAATTAATAAACCCAATCAAGACAAGAGACATGAAGAAACTCAAAATTCAAATACCCATCCTAAAATAGCTATTGAATAATATAGAGTGTGTACTCTTTATACCGAATTTCAAGAGACCGAGTATTTTTTTTCGTTATAGAGAGATCGCGTTATACGGTTGGATGAGAAAAAAAAACAAATTTAACCAACAATAATTTTACAATAATTTATATAAATATATATAATATATAGGTGACGATGGTGCGTTTAGTAACTCAGACCAAAATTTCCTACAGGCAATGCAATCTAAGAATAATGGCACACGTGTTAATGCAATTAACAATACAAAGGCGAGAAGGCTGTTTATGACCTCAGGTGTCTTTCTTAGAAATTTCGCCACCTTAATAGGTTAGTTTTGTAAGCTTCAATAAAAACGATTACACTTATGTATGTTGTTGATCTAAATAAAAGAGAATATTAATGTATGGGTTTTGTGTTCAACCAAACAAATTTAAAAAATTTTTACGTTATAGTGAGTATGTAGTTATAACGAATGTCGTTATAAAGAGTTTGTAATGTTCAAATGTAAAAAAACTGTAAACCATTTTTTTAAATGTACATATTTTCTTCTTATATATACATTATAATTTGAAATTGATTGTCTTTTAAATTTAATAAATTTTAGCTCTTTATGAATCACAAATCTTGAAAAGTAAAAAATACATACATCTTGTCCGCTCAACTGATGTCCAAAAACATCTCCGTACAAGGGTTTCCCTGTTTCATCTACAGGAGGTTTGCCCCAGCCTCCAGCGTGATATCCGAATGCACATCCTTCTGGTATGGGGGCATTTAACCCCGGAATCTTTAGGTTAGGGTACGACGGTGGCGGCCCGTAACGTTGTTGAGCGATCAGCCATGGGGGCGGCACCTGCACAAAGAAATACAAAGAAAGTTTTGATAAAAGGAGCTTGTGTGGAGATATTGTTAGAATTAAGCACATATATTATGGCTCTCATGCCACGTATGCAGTTAGCACAAATTCATAAGTGTATACAAATTTCTAAAAAGTAATATCGAGAATATTCTAATGTTTTATTCAAATCTGTATATTTCCTTTACGGGAACAGCCCTAGTTTCATCAAATTCAGTTCAGTAGTTTTTAAATTCCCCACGCATTTCCGGATGGGACATGTTTAATATAGCCTAAATTACTCTATAATTTCTTACAATAAATCTTAAACCGTATTTTCAATAATCACAATATTTGGAAGTCAAGATCATACATAATGTCAGGTTTCACAGTTGCAAGCGAAGCAATAAAAAATAGAACGCAGAAGAAATTTAGAAATTTTTGAAGTGAAACTTCTTTAGGAGCACGAGGGTAAATTTTTACGAAAACGTCACGAAGATGTGCAGGGTTTTTGTCGAAGGGAGCGATCGAGAGCGATTGACAAGAAGTGAGAAGGGCGAATTACCTTATAGAAATTCTATTTTTAATATGAAATATTAGTATTTTATATTTTATGCAAAATAATTAATTGAAATCTCAAATGACGAATTGTAAATTAAAATGCCACGTGTATTTATAATCGAAGAAATAAACTTAAAAAATTATATTTATAATTTGTATTAATTTTCGACACTTAATATTTTAATGATAATTAAATTCATTAAATTCCTTACATAAGTATCTTCCTTTTACCCTTCCTCTAAGTCTCGGAAATCTAAAGATTTAGATTTGTATAAATATGAACAAGACTTCAAGACTTTTCAAGACTATTTTATCTTGTTTGACTGTTTATAGTTAGTGGAAACAAATTAATTATATATAAATGTTTCCGTGTACATTTGTAAAAGTTGTAGCAAAAATATAGATTCTATAACCATAAACACACATTACAATGAAAACTGGACATTGTATACCAACCTTGTGAGAGCCAGGCCCAACTGGCATACCAAGTGCTGTCCTAAGTTCTTCGGACAAGTCTCCAGGCTTTTTCTCCCTCAGCCGAGTTTCAAACTCTTTCCCTTCGTAGTATAAGTCCCCATGGATGGTCATACGCGGCTTGGTCTGCCATCTGCACAGTCATTATTCAGTCAGAATATATGAGGCTGAGATACTGACGTTGGTTTTGGGATATTTTTCATTACATTTGTGAGTCTTTAATTTTTTATTTGTAGTGCTCTCTGGTAGGTTCTTACAATGGACTAAATTGACTACGTCAGCTCATGATTGGCCAGTAAATATAAAAATAGAAATGTAAAAAATCTTATGTACATTATCTATTTTATTCATATAATATTTATTATATTATAGAAAGTCATGTTAACTTTTATTTATGTTAATGTTCATTATTTGTATACATATCACAAGAAAAATGTATCAAAAAGCACTAAAAATAATAAGACATAATAATCTAATATATAAAATTCACGTTCGTTCCCATACTCCTCCGAAACGGCTCGACCTATTCTTATGAATTTTTTTAAGCATATTCAGTAAGTCTGAGAATCGGCTACTATCTTTCAAACCCTTATGTGATAAGATACCCCAAAAGAATTGTATTATTTTTTAGATTATTTTTTTGTTTTTATTTTTTTATGATACAGCATACAAAAACACATACAACCCTTAATTTTCATCTACCCTCTACGATCAACCCCTATTTTTGATTTGTTAGTTAAAAACTTTTAACTTGAACTCTGATGTTTATATATAGAAAAATTCACAGAAAAACCTAAAAAGTTTTAATTCCGGAAAACCGAACAGTCTCTGGGGTAGCATAGCAAAATGTTCCATGTTGGTATGTACAAAAAACGTAGGCTAGGCATTAAGGAGAAACGAAGTTCGCGGGGGCAGCTAGTAATAATATATATATAGAATATACACAGTTTCTTAATAATTTTTCAAGAATTTATTATAGGATACTTACAAGCAATCGTCGATTCAGCTAAGCTAAAATAATCTAAATAAAAAAAAGGGGGCTGCTGTTACGCACGCCCTAATGGACCAAGAACTAGTGAGTTGGACTCAATATCTTGATCGCATTTAGGCCACAAAATATAATATCCTCAATTAAATTTGAATGTAAAGAAAATGTTTCATACAGTACATCATAGATTTACATCAGAGTTAATTAATTAGGAAAGCGATAATTATAACATTCTTAGCGTAAATTAAATAAAGATGTTAGTATCTTAAAAATTTATGCAATTTTAGTAGAACCTAGGAAAGACAACACAATTTTTTTTCCACCTGTACATTTTTCAAATCTGTCAAACCTGAATTCTGTATTACTAGTTGTATTAGCTACCGTTGTATACTCTATGGTAAGGGTGATTGAGTTAACTCGGATTTCGTTGTTGTACTCAAATGCGCTTTAGGATAATGTGGATAACATTCTATGCAATATTTAGTCTATGGCGAATTGCAGATAATGTTGACAGCTGATAAAAAGACTTACTTAAAGAATGCGTCATGAAGCTTTTGATAATCAATATCGATCTTGCCAAGTTTAGGTCTCGAACGCTCACGCATTTTAGCTTTTAATGTTTTTGTTTCTTCTTTGTCCTGCAGCGAGGCCCTCATCTCCATGATACCGGTCTTCTTAATGAAATCCGGTAGATCAAACGGAGGCTTCTCAATACCACGCTTTCCTTGGAGATACTGTAAAAGACGGCAAAATTTTAGATCTAATAGAAAATCATAAAAGAAATGGTTTATAACAAGTTCGTAATCACGACGCGTTTGTCTTTCACAACGTTGTTTGACAGGTTAAATCACCTTATTTTCTTATTTTAATTAATACAACATTTAATTGAAGCATTAAAAAAAATGTTTGCACTGCAAGTCTATATGATTTTTTCCCTCATATATTAACTAAGCAAAGCCTAAATGTTGTTGCGAGCTAAACTGAAAAATACTTGAAATTCATTTGGTTTATATAGGGCCGTTCAAGTATTACTGCAATATACCCCTTCCTCTTGTCAGAAAAAGTAAGCAAAGCTCTCAAAAATAGAAGTAGAAATCCTCGAGAATGCACTTCGTTTTCAATCATAGACAATGTGTGGGTAATGTGTGTAAAAAAGTAAATAATCACCAAATAAGAAAATCAAAGGAAAAAATCTACCATCTGCGAGCTATTCTGGCGAGCGCTGGCAAAACCGCTAGAGTTACACATATGTAATGTGTAATGGAAATGTCTATCTAAAATAGTCCTACAAAAAAGCCCGCCACAGTATATATCTATGTCTTATGTGTCTTATGTGAAAATATATACTTTTATCGCTTCTAGTATATAAAATATGTCTTTCTCACTACACCATTTAGACAAATATTATTTTAATCCTGCGCAGACGAATGCGCAGGCATTAGTTAGTTAATAATATTTCTGTTATAGCTGCTTTCATACATCGGACCTCACACAATCAACATTTCAGTCTCTTCTAGTGAATTAATATAATTTGAACCATATATAATATTACCTTCCTCTTATAACACCAATGTCTAGGCACTTGTACAGTGTTCCTGTGCGCCTTTAACTGTACAAGTAGTTTAGGATCTCTCGCTGTGACGTCATACATTTCTACTACATCCGGACGTGATACTAATTGCTTCAATTCCGCAACTGACAGACGAGACAGCTTTTTCAATTTCCGTTTGGATAGACGCTCCTTTTCTTCCGCTGCGTGTTTCTATTGAATTATGAATAATTTTAGTGTTTACGGATTTAAAAAAAAGAATTTTAAATATTTTAGTAACTAGAAAAAAAACTATTTATAAATATTATATTTGAAAGTCATGTGATTTATAACATAAAATAAAAAATAAATCAGTGGCACTACAACCTTTTTAGGTCTTGGCCTCAGATTTCTGTATCTGTTTCATGATCATTTGTTAATCTAATGGGCAAGTAGGTGTTCAGACTCCTGTGACTGACACACCCCGTCCACTTTTTGGGTCTAAGGTAAGCCGGTTTCACTACGATGTTTTTCTTCACCGTTCGAGCGAATGTTAAATGCGCATAGAAAGTACATTGGTGCACAACCGGGGATCGAACCAACGACCTCAGGGATGAACGTCGCACGTTGAAGCAACTAGGCCAGCACTATGTAATAATACTATTTAACACAATACACAATGTAATAATACTAAATAACATAGATTTTTAAAAAAACACATTGATTTCTCACCTCCACAGCTTCTTCATCAGCTGCAAATTGATCAGTGACTTTTTCAAGCAGTTTGCTTTGTTTAGGCTGATCTCCCTTTTCTTCTTTAATCTCCTCTTCTTTCTGCTCACAAATTTTGAATGCTTCTAAAACACGATGAAATTGCCGATACATCGGTTCTAACTCATGGAATTGAATATTCTCCTGCACATATCTGTAATTAAGTATTTTATTAAATTAATAAGTTTTTCCCACTAAACTATGATCGTCATATTATGTAAAAGCATTAAGATAAGATTCTGACTGTTATTAAATAAAAAAATATAATATACTAGTAGACTAGGCCAAGCGTTGCTCTGGCTAAGATTTTTGTTATATTACATAGTAGTAAACTATTCAAGGGAAACGGTAGGAGAACTTATGTGAAAGGTAGATGACAGCTTATGTGAAACGATGATAATTTTAACACAGCGCCATCTGTTAGAATTGTATCAAATAATAAACAAATATTTTGCAATAAATTAAAATTGCGACTATAATTTGAGATTTAAACTATCCTATCTCTCAAGTTGGATCGAACTGCACATGGTGTGCAAATTTGATTGATATCGGTTTGGTAGTTTAGGAGTCCATTGAGGACAAACATTGTGACACGAGATTTATATATATTAAGATATAAATCTAATCAAATGGATTAAAATCACCTACAAACATACACCACCACACTTTGCACATTCCCACACACACCTCAACAAGTAAATTGTCTTTGTTAGTACATAATGCTCGTTGTATATGTGGTGTAATCCGTTTTTCCATATTTTACATTGAGAAATAAAAATATGATATTTTAAAAAAGCCGTGGATTATATATATAATAACTGTTCGATAAATATTAGATTTGACTATGCAACTTTAAGTTTGTTCATAATTTATATGAATAAACTGTATATAGATGATCTAATGACCAACTCACTCAATTTCTGCTTCTTTTTTATTTTCTTTGTCACTGGTAGTTTGAGTCTCATCAATGCTAGACTTGTCTTGAGTTTTTGATTCTCGACGTTTCTGCTTTGCTTCCTTCTTCTTTTTCTTCTTACGTCTATTCTTGTTAGCTTTATTTGGTTGGGCCTGAAAATCATTTAACGATTTAACACATAGCATTAACTAAAGTTTTGAAAAAAATTGATGAATTATGAAGTTACTTTTAAGGCAAACAATCTGATTAGTTCATGAATGTATTTTTATTTTTTAGTTTATTCCTGCACCCATCGGCAATCAGCTTCTTGGCTTTTATCAGATTTTATGACTTTGATTAATACATAAGTGTATTAAAAAAGATTCAATGATAATAATACTATGTTTGTAATCTACACTTTAACAAAGGTTAAAGTTCAATTCCTAAAAATAATTACAAAACTAAAAAGGAAATGTGAAGAATGTACCTCTTGTTTAGATATAACTGGTGGTTGTGGAGCCTCAGGTATATTTTCTTCATCAGATTCACCTTCATCATCCTCAACATCATATTCCGTACTTATCACAGGTGCAGGGGGAACTACGGGTTCTTCTTCATCTGTAAATATTACACAAGGCTAATAGTAATGGTAGTTAATGTCATAAGTTGTTTTACTCTACTCTAATACTAGAAAAAATAACAATGTTACCCCATAAAATATATATAAAAATAAAAATGTTTAGATAAATTATTTTTAGATCAATTTTGGTTCAAGTTTCTGAACTAAAATGTACAGTCATTTAAAATCGATATAGAGCTATTAGATGTCTTAATATTTTGAAGAATAAAATTTAATTGTCAATGAAGGATTTTAAGATCAATGATCTTCTCAATTTATAGTTTGGAACAACCAACATTTGTTTGCAGTATCTTAAAGGAAATAATGTTATAAATATTATTGAATACAAAAACAATTACCAGCTGGTGCCCTTTCTATTTCCTTTCCTAAAGCAGCCTGTCTTTGATCTTTGTATGCCAAGGCTTCTTCTAAAGCTTTTGGTAAGACAACACCAGTCACAGAAGCTGGTTTGTTTCTGAACTCTTCAGGTGTATCTATTTTCATAGTCAGAAGAGATGGTAGAGAAGTGTTTAGACCACTGGAGTCCTCATCATCCTCATGGTCATCATCATGATCATCATCTCTGTCATCCCACCCAGCAGTACCATCATCTATTCCTTGCCTGCTCCACCCAGAAGGTCCTTGACCTTCCCAAGGGCCATGACCCATCCCAGGTAGTGGCATATTTGGAGGTGGACCCAATCCAGGCGGGCCTAAATCCATCGTTTGATTGTAATTATTCTTCACATTGGGACTTCCATGCATCATACTAGAAGTCATTCTAGGTGGACCACTAATTCCAGGGGGACCCATGCCAGGTGGACCCATACCTGGAGGAGGTGGACCCATACCTGGAGGCGGAGGGCCCATCCCTGGCGGCGGAGGGCCCATCCCTGGCGGCGGAGGGCCCATCCCTGGCGGCGGGGGGCCCATCCCTGGCGGCGGGGGACCCATTCCAGGTGGCGGGGGACCCATTCCTGGTGGCGGAGGCCCCATACCCGGTGGAGGAGGGCCCATACCCGGTGGAGGGCCCATATTCATCATTCCTGGAGGTCCCATTCCAGGGGGTAAAGGCGGACCAGAAGATGAACTTACAGGGGGTATAGATCCCGATGGCGGAGGCATTGGACCAGCAATTGATCCAGGTGGTGGGGGGATAGGAGGAAAACTTGGCATATTAGGAGGGCCTAGATTGGCATTACCAGTACCCGGTGGACCATCCATTTCAAATAACAACTTGATTCACTATATTAATAAATATACCACATCAGAATACACAATATACTTCAACGACAGGCATGAAATAAAGTGGCGTATTAGCTTTATTTATTGTAATTATAATATCGATTTAATTAGAAAAGAAATTGTAATTCTGCACATGCAAACATAAAACACGCAGAAGCGGCACAAGCATCAAGCGACAAGAACAATCAAATTTGAAATGACAATTGACATTCAAGTCCTAATGACAGTTCATGGTTCATATTTCATAATTGACGTATGTATGTATTACTACAGAGTTAAAACTTTAGCGATGCTTTAGCTTAAAGTCACTTGAAAAATTATTTAAAAAATATTAAAAAAAATATGATCAAAGAAAAAAATATATTAATAAAGTAACCAAAATTGCAATTGTTTTAACTCGATACATTTTTAAAGTATAGTTTGGTACTACTAAATTTAGGCTTTTATTTAGTATTTTCTTATATCTTTATTTATGGCAATAAAACAACCTAAATTCACAAAACTCCTTACATAAAATGGCGGCACGTACTTCGACTATTGAAAAGTTTTCGCCATTAGGTAGCATCGAAGACAATTAAAGATGACTTTACGAGAGTAAATGATACAGACGTATTCTAGTACATCTACTAGAATACGTCTATATCTTTTACTCTCGTGATCTCTTACACTTCGTATTGTTTCACATATATCAGAGAAGAAAAATATATACTTATATTATATTAAAAAAATGCGTGCGTACAAAGTACACATGTCAGAAGTGAAACTTCTTTGGCAAACTAATTTTTAAGTCTTCTTCATTAGAAGAAGACATAAAAATTAGTTTTAGATTTGTATATATTAATATACTTACTATAAAACTTTAGATTTCCGAGACTTAGAGAGGAAAAGGAAGATATGTTAGGAATTTAATTGTCATTAAAATATTAGGTGTCGAAAAGTAATACAAATAATTATAAAATTAAAAATAATTTTTAATTTATTTCTTCGATATTAAAAACACGTGGCATTTTAATTTACAATTCGTCATTTGAGATTTTAATAAATTATTTTGCATAAAATATAAAATTCTAATATTTCTTAAATTCTCTTTACGACATTTTAATTTTAAAAACAGAGAATTCTATAAGGTAATTCACCTTTCTCACTATCTCTCTCAATCGGTCTCAATCGCTCTCTCCCTTTTCTTCGACAAAAAACGCTGCACATCTTCGTGACGTTTTTTAAAAAATTTACCCTCATGTGCCTAAAGAAGTTTCACTTCAAAAAGTATTAGTACAATAGATAATAACATTTAATTTTTTAACATATACTGCGATGTGGTTCTCCAAGGAAAGATTTAAACAACCATTGGTATTTCAGTGTTTGTGCCTAATTTTGTATATATTTCTACGTTTTTTTAAATAAAATATCTTACATTAATAAAACGTGACGTGAATAGACGTGTAAAAATTAAGCTGAGACTTACTTAAGACTAAGACTGTCTGTAAAAAAATAAAAATGTGTGCGTGTACTAGGTGTACACACGTAAGAAGTGAAACTTATATAAAACCTTTGTTGTACGCAGAGCCATAATTGGTTTGTTTTAAGTTTAGAGGTCCGAAACTATTTCTTTAAACACAGTAAATTTTGATACACTGCCTAGCATACAATTTACAAATTAATTGCTGCAAATTGCGATTAGCAAACTTCAAAGTCAAAAACATACTATATGTCATATTTTAACGCCGATAAAGAAGTTTGACTTCAAAAAGCAACATGGCGCGTAACGGAAAAATGTGACGCGTAACGCAAAAATGTTACACTAAATTTTTTTTTCCAACCCCGATAAAGAAGTTTCACTTCAAATAAAAATTTTCTTACAGTCTAAAATATTATAAACTGGAGGTGTCATTTCAGTTTTTGAAATCATTTTCATTTCATTAATACAATATACACAATAACTGGTCTATATGAAATTTGTCATTATAGCTAATAGTAAATAATATACTATTTCGACGCAATGGATCAATATTTTTATTCGTCTTGTAGAACTTCTTGTTCTTTTTTGATTGGTTAATTATTTTTCCTAAGTATGTTGCCATAATAGAGATCATAGGTTCATTTGATCTATATTTGTGTTAATTAATAACAGGAAAATTTACTTAAATTGTAATTATATATTATTTGCCATAAATCTCTTTAATTTAGATAGTACTTTATTGTAGACACGAAAAAGAAGTTGTGCAAAGTCTGTTTTGAGTACTGGCAACAAAAGCTGTTTATTAAAAGCACACAACTGTCAGCTGGTGACGGTGTTGATAATATCATTATTTTGATAAAATCTGAAAATTTTATTTTGTGCATTATATACCCCAAGTGTATATTTTACTTTCTTGCAACCGAAATTTTTATGTGATTGCAATTCATTATCACTTATTTCATTTTCATTTATAAGAAAGAAGCTATTAAAATGTCTGACATCAGTGATAAGTACAACATAAAGTGTCCAGGTGTTAAAAGATTAATGAGAGAAGCTATTGAGTTAGCAGAGGCGACAGAGGAATACTGTGCGCGACCTTTGGAAGATAATCTTTTTGAATGGCACTTCACGGTAAGAGGCCCTCCTGGTACCGATTTTGAAGGTGGAATTTACCATGGGCGCATCTTATTACCTAAAGAGTATCCTATGCATCCGCCGCATATAATACTCTTAACACCGAATGGAAGATTCGAAGTTAATAAGAAAATATGTTTGTCTATCTCAGGATATCACCCAGAGACGTGGCAACCATCTTGGTCAATCAGGACTGCTCTGTTGGCCTTGATTGCTTTTATGCCTACTCCTGCCGAAGGTACTATTGGTGCCCTTGAGTACTCACCGGCAGAGCGTAAAACTCTTGCAAAAAAATCCACCAGCTGGGCATGTGCTCAATGTGGTGAAATTGCTCCATTGTTATCCTCTAATGCAGCTAAGCCAATAACAGAAGAAGAAAAGTCAGTATTAAATCAAATTGCATTTAAAGGAGAGGAGGAACAAACACCAAAACCGCCTGAGCCTGAACCAACCTATGAACCAGAGCCTCAGATATTAGAATCTGTTGACTCTAGCACCACATTTTTGGATCAAATTTTGGAGATAATAGTGGCTCTCCTTGTAGGTGCTATTGCAATATTTATTTACAGGCGATGGAATTCATATGCAGCTATTGATACTGATTTATAATTATTATGCAATAATTACTTATTACCATAGTATTAATTGAATGAATTGCTAATTTGATGTTTAAGACCATGTAAAATTACCTGAGCTACTTTTAAATCCTTATTTCATGCTAGTGGACAACACAAGATTGCCTAATTATATTTTTACTTAATTAACCAAAAATTTTTAGTGATATATTAACATTTTATTATATATATATGTATATACATTTTATAATTTTCCATTTAGATTATGAAAACTAAAGTGTATGTTTTAATAGGTAATAAAAATCTGCCTAGAAATATGTGAGAAGCTATAAGTACAATAATTTTTTCCTTCATAACTATTATAATATATTATTGTTATAGAAATGCACTTTAAACATTTAAGTGGCATTATAAGACCTTAAGTATAAATTAATTATGACCATTAAAACTTTTATTGTAACTTAGATTTGTGAGACATTAGTTTTACATCACTTTATATTGTGATATTTGTAATGTTAGTGTAATATACATATTATTAAAATATAATTTGTCTCTATTATCAGGCTGTTTCATTATAATAAATAGTAGTTTGATTTGCAATATTAAATAATACTAAAACAATTTAGTAAGAATTATATTAGAAACATACAGTAAGGTATAACCTAAATTACATTTATTTGTATTTAGAATGAATAATTAAAAGAAGATTAAAATAAATCTGCCACATTCATAGGCATCTCATCAATTTGGGTTGAGTAGTATTGTTCAATATCTCTTAAAATCCTGATATCATCAGATTTTACAAAGTTGATTGCAACACCTTTACGTCCAAAACGTCCTGATCTGCCAATTCTGTGAATGTACAATTCACGGTTGTTTGGCAAATCATAGTTAATTACCAATGAGACTTGTTGAACATCTATTCCTCTTGCCCAGACATCTGTTGTAATGAGAACCCGGCTGTAATAATACAAATATTTATGAATATTTTTTTTCACAAAATTTTAAATATCACAATATATATCAAGTATGAGCCTCACCACAAGCAAAAAGTATAAAAACTAAGTTAATTCTAAAATTACCTTTGCCCTGATCTAAATTCCTTCATAATGTTGTCTCGCTCCTTCTGAGGCATATCTCCATGCATTGAACTAACCGTAAAGTTAGCCTCTTGCATTTTTTGTGTCAACCAATCCACCTTCCTCTTTGTATTACAAAATATAACTGCCTGTGTAATAGTCAATGTGTCGTATAAATCACACAATGTGTCAAACTTCCATTCTTCACGTTCTACCGCTACAAAGAATTGTTTTATTCCTTCGAGTGTCAGTTCATCACTGTAAAATCAATTAATATTTACTTATTACTAATAAGATTATTGAATGGTATTTGCTTCATTATAAGGATTGTTATTGACAGAAATGCTTATCCTATTAAAAGCTAAACATAATTACATACCGTTTTACCAAAATTCTGATAGGATCTGTCATAAACTTTGAAGTCATTTCAAGAATTTCATGGGGCAATGTAGCAGATATCAATACAACTTGAGTTGCTGGAGGCAGATAACGGTAGACATCATAAATCTGTTCTTTAAATCCTTTGTTTAACATTTCATCAGCTTCATCAAGAACAAGCATCTTAATAGAACGTGTTCGTAGCACACGCCTTCTTATCATATCTGCAAATTAATTACAGGGTAAGCATTCATACATTTTTAAATCTATATTATTATAAACAAAGTGGCTTACCAAAGACTCTTCCTGGGGTTCCAGAGACTACATGCTGTCCATAATCCAACTTCCTAATATCTTCACCCAAATTAGTTCCACCAATACAAGCATGGCATTGTACATTCATATAGTCTCCTAGAGCTAATATAACTTTTTGAATCTGGGTAGCCAACTCTCGTGTAGGTGAAAGTATCAATACTTGGGTCTCACGCAATGTGGTGTCCAATGATTGAAGTATTGAGATAGAAAATGTAGCTGTTTTGCCTGTACCAGACTGTGCTTGTGCGATAACATCTCGGCCTTTAACTATAGGCAGAATACTTCTTTGTTGAATTGCAGATGGCTTTTCGAACCCTGAAAAGTGACAAAAATAAAAATCTTGCTTATGATTATCTTTTTCAATGCCAATATAAAAAGAAACAAATTATTTTTACCATATGTATAGATTCCTCGTAACAATTCATCTTTCAAGTTCATAGAATCGAAGGTTGGAATAACTTCCACATCTTCACTTGTGTCAAATTCAACATTTGAGAGATCTTCAGTAATCTTCCTGCTAAATGATACCTCTGACGATGCCATCGTTGCAATGATTGCTACCCCGAAAAGTTATTCTTCCTGTAAATGTAACTTTCTAAATTCTATAATGCAAACAGCGTCATAGAAATATAAGTAATCACAATCCCGACGTACCTATTACTCCTTTACAGATAAACAAGTGTGAGAATTGTTGAATCTTGGATATTTAACTTTTACCCTTTAAATGTGATGAGAAAACCAGTAACTAGCAGAAAAAAACAATTTTTATTAATTTATTCTACCTTTGGAAATTAGACCACACTATTCCGCAAAGCGTTCCATTTTTGCCACAGACAGGATAATTTCCATAGAATATACAATAGCTACGAACAGTAAACATAGCCACAGAAACGTAGTACTTACAACTTTAAAAATAATTACAAAAGTTTTTAATAAAACGGTATAATCATTATTTTGTATGCAAATTAATACTTTTTTAAATATCTTATTTTGCGAAGTAAAATAAAAAAAAATTTCGTAGACTTTAGTGTATGTTTCTGAACGAAATTATCAACGCAATCACAAATTTTCGAGTTTATTATGCCCAAATTGAACGATTTTATTCGGATTTTGAACGAATCAAAATGGATGCTGGGTGTGAATGAACTATGTGCTGAAAAACGAACAGCTTTTTATCAAGTTCTGTCGAAACCCTGATAATAATCAGGATTCCGGCATTGTGATTTTGTGGAGCAGCTAATTAGGGAGTGGTAAAATATTGTGTGTGCTGCTGTTATAAAGATAGTAGCAAAAATTTTTGAATTCTGTAGTCACCGTGTCGGTAATGTGTTTACGAGAGTGTCGGCCGAGTTTCCCGCAGGTGGCCCTAATAGGATGAGGACTCGTACGGAAACGTTGAAAGTTGATGTGAATCAATGAGTGTTATGTTTTGCGCTGCCATTAGTTCTCGGAACGACATGGCGAGAATTTTAGGACTAAGCAATAGCTCGAGTTTTGAATGAGCGAGTAGAAATGAAATGCATATACAGGAAGGAACGAACACAACTCTGACAACATGTACCAAAATGACAGAAGAATTAGACAGAAGACATGGTGTAAATGGTAGCAAAGTTCTTAATGACGATCCTCCCGCACAGAATGCAACGCCCGCGGCGACGGGTGGCAGGCTTAAGTTCTTCAAAGGTTAGTAGCTCATATGTTCACAATTGTACAAAGAATTTCTTTAAACAGCATGACAAAAGTTGTTTTTCAATAGGGAAGGGCTTTCAGATTAACATATTTAATGTAATTAAGAATGGAAAAGAAAGTCATTCATGCTCTGATAACTAAGCTACATTTGACTGAACAGTTGCCAATTGTCTGCATACAGCTTCTGTGCTATTATATTTTGTAAGGAGCTAGGAGCACCCTAGCGGAACAAACAATTCTTATCTGTAGTGGAAAAACACACTTATTGTTATTACAAATAGAGTTAAAGATCTTATTGAGATAATCAATAAGTTGCTGTTATGTCTAATTAGCAAAAATATATCTTTAAAATGTATTTAATTATTTTGATCTATCTCTTTTGTGTTACATGATCCATATTAGATTTTAGCTAGAAACAAGTAATAATTAAATTAATAAATAATGATGAGAATATAAAAATTTGTATTGACTTTGCTTTGTTTTTCATACCACCATAGTCTTAAATGTATTCAATATATTAATTACTATTGACTTGGCATATTCTATCATAATATTTATTAAAGCAAATATTATGGGCTAGTGGTACTTATCATAGTTAAACATTGGATATCTATAACTGTATAAAGTATAATTAAATATTTAATCATCAAGTGCATAGATTAAATATTTCTCGTCTGTAATATTTGGAGTATAGGAAGCAACTTAATTTAATTTTGTGTGTATAAATTATGACTTTAAAACTAAATAGCCTATAGGCTTAAGTAATATTATATACCAAAGATAAAAAATACCAGTGAAGATATTTTTGCTAAATAAAAGTTGTACATAGAAAAGAAACACATTTCATAATTATTAGAAGTATTTCAAAGTCAAAGTCAAATCGTTTATTTCAATTAGACCATCTAAAATGGCACTTTTGAACGTCAAAAAAAAAAAAATATAAAGATGATTCTAGTTGCCCCTTCCAAAAGGTAGTTTCGTGTGGAGAAGAATGGGCAAGAAACTCCACACTTACTCTTTTAAAATAGGTTTACAATATTTTGTTACATTTGTTAAATAATTATATGTGAAGACAATGTACTCTTAGAATAAACTACTATACTAAAAAAGTTAGTATACATGTTCCTCACATATTTACAAATATCGAAACCTTAGAATATTAACATTAAAGAGTAATAAAAATATTAAAAAAACACAACGAAACAGTGTGTGAGATACAAAAAAAAATAATTACATTTGTAGCATTATATAAATAAAAAAATAATAATAATAATAATAATAACAAAAATATGTTAAAGCAAAAAATCAGCAACCAATTTGATTTTGTCCAGGCTATAGAGCCAATCATAGGATTGTCCTATGGAGCAGGACCAGCATGTTTCCAAGCATTCTTATCTTGAATATAATCATCTAATTTGTAATATGCTTGTTTACAAAGTGTACTTTTAATAAAACATTTAAATTTTCGTTCATTTAGTTTTAAAATGTCACAAGGTATTTTATTGTAACATTTCACACAGTACCCCATAAATGAATTTTGAACTTTGGCTAATCTGAAAGATGGTTGAGCTATTTTATCTTTATTTCTAGTACTAAAATTATGTCTTTCATTTATTTTTCTAAAAAGATGTAGATTCTTTCTTACATACATAATATTTTCATAAATGAATTGGCAAGGTACTGTCAGAATATTAATCTTTTTCATTACTTAATTATATTTTAGTGTAACATAATAAGTTAAGTAAGCTCCATGCATTTAGACATTATTTAATATTTAAAGGATTTGTTGGCATTGTTTCAAATTAACATGACTAAGTTTATTATTATTATAAGATTACATAACAACTGTTAAGCTGTTAACCATAGTACTAATATAATTAGTTTCAGTTCATTTAGTATTCTAAATTTTATTTAGTTAAACATCATTGTGTTAAGTTTTTATTTTGTAGCAACAATCTCATTTTGCAAAGCATTCAATAATCATGAACAAATATTGGTCCAGTTTAATGTAAGTCTATGGTAGTCATGTGATGACTTTGTGATATGAGTTTGATCTTTTAATATAATTTGATGATAATAATTAAACAGTTCACCTCAAACTTCATATTTGATATCTGATGGTCTGAGTGTACATAATATATGTATACCGGCTTGTTTTCAGAGGCTGTTATCATTTTATATATATTTTTTATTGTAAAATGTTCTCTGGAGTCATATTAATATCTCACGTAATTTTGTACATTTCAGATGGAAAATTCATTCTGGAGCTGGTCCGCGGCGGGGAGCGGGCAGGCTGGGTGTCGGTGCCGCGGAAGACGTTCTGGCCTCCGGCTGGAGCGCCCGGGACGCCGCCGCCGCCTCACGCCGCTGCGCCTTGCGCTACTCTATCGCTGTCCGACGACAACTCGTCGTTACATTCGTCGCCCTGCGCCTCACACCGTGATCACGCTTTCAAGCAGCCTGCCCCGCGCCGCAACCTCTCCAAAGAGTTAGCCATGTACTACTGCCGGCCTTCCACCCTATCCGCCGCTCTCGTTCGAGCCGCCTCGCGCCTAAAGCGCCGTCGCCCTCATGATCCCGCCCACCACGACGCTTCGCCCGACGAGGCTAAACGGAACGGCGAAGTCGCCGACGATAAGACCTGCAGAGGGGAGGACGTCGTCGACGCCCCGATCGAAACGAAAACGAAACACGACAAAGATCGGTGGACGGATTTAGATCGAGAAAAATATTATCATATGAAACTCAAGAAACCGTATCAGTATCATAAGTTAAGGGTTTACAAAAAGAGGAAACCGACCGCTAAAAGAAAGGAGCTATCGCAAATCGTAGACAAGCTCCGGGAGAAAGTCGCGGCGTTTCCGGTCCTCGTGAATGCGAAATTGGCGAACTGTCGCCAAGAGCATGTGATAGTGTCGCCTCGGAAGCGAATTCTTAGGGAAATGGAAAGAGTTAGTCTCGAGGACCAGGCGACAAAGAGGCGGGCCAAGACCGTGCCGACGCTGAGTACGGCGTCGTACCCGCCGTCGCCGGGGCCCAGCCACACGCCGCACCGCGCGCCAGAGACGACGCGCGCGCAGAACGGCACACTGCCAAAGAAGGAGACGGTGTCCAAAAACGTGAGCAGTTACAGCATACACTCCTTGCTGAGCATGCCGGAAGAGACCGGCACGCGGCGGTCGCCGGAGGCGAAGAGGTCTCCCCACTCGTATCCGCCGTCGTTGAAGACGGAGTCTCCGTCGAGCGTGACCTCCCCGGACCTGAGTCCCAGTCCCGACGGGTATCGGTACCGGTATGGGCTATCATTGGACTCGCCCGGACGCGGGGCGGCTCGGGATTCACCGACGCCGCCGACAGGGGCGGGTGTGGCGTATCGCGGGTACGCGGCACCCGGCTACGCGAGGGCGCCGCCGGCGTACCGCGGTTCGCCGGGGCGAGAGGACTGGCCTCCCTACGTGTACGGTTACGCCTACCCGCCCCTGTACCGGGCCCCCGCTGCGCCTGCGCCGCTGTGGATGCACTATGCGATGTCTCCCGGCGTCCCTCCTGGCGCCTGGCCACCGCTCGCCCATCCCTTGCTCACGGATCACCTACCTAAAGACGAACCCACTTCAGGTAAGTCAAGTTTGTTTCTTATACCTACCTAATCGTACAAAATCATAGTGAAACCAAACACTTTCTATGTATTCACAATATAATGCTCTTGTTTTAATTTCATAATTGTGCTTAAGTCTATATATGTAAGTTGATTACTGACAGTAGAGTTGTTTGCGTCTGTTTACTGATTAGATTTTATCAGAAACTACATTTTTGTGATATACAGAACGAAATATGGGCACTGGGCAGTCATATTCAATCAGTCAAATTCGCGACCTCTAACGTTGCCAGCAACAATGAATTCCAATCCTCCAATAATGTGAAGAATTGAATTTCAGATTTGCCATTGAACCTGTCGAAGCACTGAGTATCTCGTCGCTGACAATGAAACAGTTGAATCAATGTGCTCGATACGTTGTCACGGCTCTATTACGTCGTTAATTCATTCCGCGGAGAGACAATGACTTTCCCACGAATTTCCTTAAAACATTCCATTCATTGTCTCCATTGAATTGGCTTCTGTTTGAGTCCAAAAATCACATCCCACCTATCTATTCGTAGGTCCGAAACCTATCGCTTATTAAATATGAAACTGAATAAAATATTTTTGTATAGATTCCGATTTTCGGGTTAATGTATATACCTACCCGGAAATGTATTTACAAAATGTATATTATACCGGAAATTTACTATTTTATTATAGAGTGTTTGTATGCAGATGTGTGTATTTTCATACGAATTATTTGTACGATTTGAAATATTTTAATATTGGCTATTAAAGTAGGTAAGGCGATACAAATGAACTAATCCTTGTCGATTGTTAACGAACAGTGCCTTGACTAATTGATATGTAAACCTATTTATGAATGAACTATTACAAATTTAATATTAAAAATGCAATTTTTGTATCACACGAAATTATATTTTTCGGTCTTTGCGCAAAATAAATTCCATATTGAATAACTCACGATCTCATTATTTAATTTAGAAAATAAAACGAGATAAAGACTACAGTTTTGGGATCAAATTTGGATGTGTGTTTATGTAACATATAAATTAAAAGACATGTACATATAGCTTGTGAATGGTGTATTGTTGAGCGGGAGTATATAAGAGTTATATAGGAATCGACCGCTTACATAATCGGTTAGAATTATACCCAGGAATAATAATTTTTCTAATTGTACAGTATTTTTGTATCGAGTATTTTAAGAATCGACCGCGATAACGCCTTGAGATTAAATCCTAGAGATAGTTTTCTGCAATTTATTATTGGGTTATTGTATTATAAGGACAGTTGAAGGATTAAAGGACTGACTTTGATGTAATATTAATGGAATTGTATAAAATAGTTGTGTATGGCCTAATACGCTCTCCAACATGTCCGCCAACAAAGTTGTAGCGTAACTAGGTGTAAAATCCTGCTCAATCTAACTCAGTACATTTAGGTATATATCAGCTGTTTGGAGTGAACTGTGTTTTTATTTCAATTTTTCTGCATTCAAACGCTTTAATTGCAGAGTTTTGCTCAAAAGATGCAGTCTGTTATAGATAAATTATGCTAATAGCAATCGTTATGCAAATGATAATTCTTGTTGTAAATGTTAATGATTTTTTTAATTAGAATCTCGAGTGATTTATTACGATGACCAATAGATTATATCTATTGGATCAGTTTGAGGCAACGGAACTGTATCTCTCAAGTAATTACCAGTGCGTACACATTTGATTAATGTATTTACGCAGTACAAATATACTATTAATTAAGGCATACCTTTATCGATTACCAAATTTAACATTTTTAACAAGAACGTAACGTAACAGTAAATATTTATTTAAAACAATTTCAACGTTTCATGTTACGTAAAGCGTGTTAAATACGATTTGTAGTTGTTTAAAATAAATGTAAAATTGTGACTCGATAAAATTCCGTTAGTCGCGGAGCAAAGCTATGGGACATTTTTAGTTAGTACTCAAAATGTTTCATAGCTATATAAAATATTAATTTATAAAGATTTTATGGAATCATTTATATCAGACTCTATCTTATTTAACCGAACAATTGTTAAGTACAATGTTTATTAAACTCATCAAAGTTGTTAATAGTGCCATCAACATACAGACTATATATACGTATAAGTGTTATATAGAAACACAGTTTTCTCTCGCAGCATATGTGAAATTTATTTTTCTACTCTGTAACTCATGACTTATGTGATATCGCAAAATGTGACGAAGCAGGTGTCTTAAATCCACTTAAAACATATTTATCACGCGGAATAGTTATCCCCTATTATAAGATGTAGTTATGTACTCGAATAAATATAACTTTTTATAACGTGTTTTTATTTCGACCTTAACTGAGTAGTGAGGCGGATTGCGAGATGGGTAAAACGGGAGGTTTTTTCATTCATTGACCGAGTAGACGCTAGACCTTTTACCATTAGCTGTACCAAGAGTTTGATAAGTGTGAGACTAGATAAAACAATTCGAGTTAAATTAATATGACGCGAAGATCCAAGATTTTTCATACAAATATTTTACGCGGTCGTAAACATTTAGTACTTTATCATACTTATAGCGTTAGTGTTGTTGCCATATTGAACTTCCAGTAGAGGATGAAAATATTTGTGCCGGAGGTGATGTTCTTCCTCGAATAATCTGGCCCGAAGGTCCCAGTGTTTGAGAAGTTGTTCTATATATTATAAGCGGTCGTAGTTACTTGGTTAGAGCGTTCAGCGTATGACGTCGCTACATCATTATTTTAGAAGTAAAAGTTGGATTGTGTATACTACCTGACACACTCCAAAGACTGGCGAACTAGTGTTGCTTTATCCGTAATTGAACAATCGAATCTGTAGTGTTTTTGTCAAATGAATGAACACAACGTTCTACTCCAGAACTATAACTATTTCGGGGGGTAATAATAATAATAAATGCTTTTTTATTTCCATATCCTTAATTTCCATTTCAAATTTAGTTAGTAGTGTTGTTAGTATTTACTAATAGCTTAATGTTAATTGTAATATGTTGTCATGATGCGTCTACGTCTACCAGTGCTTACTTTTGGTTCTGAATCCTGGACCCTTAGCAGGAAGGACGAGCTTGCCCTCCTTATATTAGAGCGGAAGATTCTTCCAAGAATTTTTGAGTGTTAAACGTATTCGCTTCAACGAAGAACATAATAACCTACTTGACGACACCAACATCTTCCAATTCATAAAATGCAATAGGCTCAAAAGACATGCGCACCGAAATCCGAATGGCGGACAGCATAACCCCAAGGTCCTTACTGAACTCACAACTTGGTGGCAAGAGAAAACCCGGTACACCGAGGATGCGTTGGTGGGATGAAGTTGTCAAGGACCTCGAATACAAGAAGCACGAGATAGATTGTGATTGCGAAAGATACTTGCGGAGGTCCATAAGGAGCTGTACAGCCACTGATGGTGATGACTAGAACTTCCTAAGAAGATAATTAGTAAGAGGCATGAACGTTACGTTCAGGGCCTAACTGCATGCTTGACAAAAACATTCATGAAAAATATAAAAGACGCTCTTAAAGAAATAAGTTTCCAATTCTGACATGACATAGTGCGTTTGCCGAATATCTACATCGCTTTCATTTAAAAACAAGCTCTGCCTATATGTGTGAACTTGAAATCCAACAAATTGTATTACACCTGTAATGTCCAGTGTTAGGCGCGTAAACATAAATAAAAAATAAACCAGGTGGTAAAAATAAAATAAAATATGTTTATTATGGAATATATACACGTATCACTTATTCCACGGCATTAAATTTCAATCGGTAGACATCCCTACTCATCGGCAAAGAAGACAGAGGGTGTAGGCCCAGAGAAAAAGCCAGCGTAAAGAACTCTCGGCTCTCTTTTAAAATAGCAAATACAAATTATACGGTATTATACGAAATGACTATGTCAAACAATACTTATTTTAAAACAAATATCGCAAATTAATTAGAAGTAGCCTGTCTAGCTCTAGTCCCAGGCCCTTTTATGAACTTGATAATCGTTAACTTTATAGTAAGCCTTTTTACACAGCTCTTAAGTAATGAAGTACATTTCTTAAATTTATTGAAAGGCAGAGATAAAAGAGCCTCTGGGATTTTATTAAAGAAAAGTATCTTTAATATCTACTTTGTACAAAATATAAATGCACCTTGCCTTGAGGAATGTGGAAGTTTTTAGACCATAAGTTTTGACAACAATTATAAATATCTTATTTATATTATTATGACATTTGCATGCCTTATATGAACAAAAGACTGATCGTTTGTAGCTGATTATATCAATTAATCAGTCATTAATTGATAACAAGCTTAAATTTTCGAAATAAACGATTAATTTTTATACAGGCCCTTAAGCGTCGCGGCCAGTCGTCTATCGCAGCATGCACCGTATTTGTCGATTTCGTACGGTTTTTAAAGCTGACTTGCAGATGTCCAATTTTGCAATGAGGTTTACACAGACCTTCCTCTAAACCCTGTTAATTTCGGAAAAAATTAATAGTGCTCTGGAAGGCCAATCCTCATGTCTAATTGACTATGTTTTGACTCAAACCAGGCTTTAGTGGTCTTCTTTATACTGCAGACGCAGAGTCCTGGTGGACACGAGTGATGTCGCAAATAGGTGCTAAACTTGTTTTAACCAAAGATACTATAAAACGTGTTTGGTACACTGTAGCATGGTTTTACCCCATTAACCTCAGTTTTCCCGTAAATCACACACCCTTAACAAACCGTTACTAAGAGGATGATGTCCATGTTGCACCCTTGGAAATTTATTTTCAGCTTCTTCAGAATCCTAGCGTACCTGTAAATTCTGTTTATTGTCTCAACTTCTCTTCAATATCGAAGAAATTTTTGTCCGTAAAGAGGATATCACGGTGTCGGTTTTTCGCGTACCGCATATACAAGATGTAAGATTCTTAAGTCTTATTGCTTTTGACGAGCATTAAGAAAGTGCCCAGTCGTTCATTTGTTGCAATCGTAGATCAAGATCTTGGTTTAAATACCATTTTTTAAAGTTTTCCTACAGACACCCAAACTGTAAGGTTCCCTCAACTTGCTGTTATCGGACAGGATTTCTTAAAATCCGCACCTTGCTAGCTTTGATAATGCTGGTAAGTACTTGCGGAGCGTTGCCAGCCAGTTTTTTAATGGGCTCAACAGAGTCAAGGTATTTGTACCGTACACAAACCTAGCAGATATTCAATTTTGGCTTGTAAATGCTAATCGGCGAATGTCCACAGCGGTGCAGCAATAACAAGATTCGGTTTACTTTAGTCTACTATGTGAAAAATTACGGCAAGTTAATGTTTTTTGTTTTAAAACAATAATCAAACATAAGTAGGGCGATAAAATTCTTTATAATCGGCCCGTATGTAATATTTTTTTCAGTGACAGACACATTGGGACCAACTACGTATATTATTATGAGGCATTTGCATGCCTGATTTTATATGGCTGATTGTGTTTAAATTAGTCACTTTGAATGTACCACTTTTCTACTAATAAACGATTAATTATGTTTTTCTGACATCTAATCCATGAATTGTATATATGGATCTCCCAATAAAATTTAACCTCCATTATCGCAACTTATATATTAAAATCGGTTTTGTAATTTTTACATTCACCATTACAGTAAGTTTATAATATTAGTGTAGGTTTAGTCATTGACCGTAGCTAATTTAATTAGTGGTGACCTACCACTAAGTATGTTTTTTTTTACGTTTGACAAAAACTGATAATTCGCTCTTCTTTAAAGCTGCTATTCAATAAACAAAAATGAAATGGTCTGTTATACTCTGGTATATACATACCTATTGATTAGTCTGTGCGGAAGAGAATCGGCGTGGCGGTTACGCGAACTAATAATTCAAAGGCCGCAAATTGCATAACCGTCCGAAATACTAAGTTTTCCCCTATGATCATTAATAAAAATAATAATCTGTATTTGTGCAGATTGTAAGAGCAAATGTATATATAATTTTGATTTAAGAACTTGGCTTACTGATTATAATCAGCATCACTCATGAAGTTTGATTTGGCGGGACTTAATTCGATTCCCGGAAAGAATTGAAGAAATACTTTCCTTGTCTTGTCTTAAATAAATGAGATTTCACACACCAAAATTATTCATAATTTTAAATTAATTGAAAATTCGTATTTAAACGACGCGATGCTGCCTCCATGGGTTGGTAATTCAGAGGACAATCATAATTCCGGTTTAAAGACAGCAAAGTCCTATATCAAAATAATGTCTAGGAATTTGATAAGTATTATAATGTAATTGGCATTTTTAAGTAATCGAAAGTTTAAAGATTATTACAACCAAGGTAAATTTTTGTTATTCGTTAATAAACAGAAAGGGTCTGAAAAAATTATATAGACCTTATATTTCGTATTCAGAAATCGCGTTCTTTAGAAAACATTACCTGTAATAAACATATGCAGTGTAAACGCTATATAGGCCTAAAATACATAGGAAATGTACACTCTGTAGGTTTAGAGTAATCTTGAATGCGCGAGGCCCTATTTAATACGGCTTAGATGAAGGAGCCCTAAATTATTTAAATACTCACCTGCACCCAGCTGTACACTGTTGAAAGTTAGCGATTACGATGTTCATAAATACCGTTTCTGTAGCTAAAACTAACACAGGGACAAGTTTAACACAATAAAGGTGGAAGAAGTTTTCATCACTTATTTTACAATCATAAAATACTCAGGGATGACAAATAAAAAGACAAATACGATTTGTGCTTTATTTATGAAAAAAATTGTAAATTATCCTACAATGAATCTCCGAATGAAATAGACTTACATATCGTTTATGTATCAAATACATCGCTCGTCGCCAGATCAAACCACATAAGAACAATAAAATATCTACAGAATCGTCGGGGCGGTCTGTATGTACACGGTCAGCCGAGGAGCGCCTCCATGGTGTAGGAGCGCGGGGGCGGAGGCCGGGGCTGCTGTCAGTCCAGGATCACCAGCTGCAGGGGCGCCCCCGCCCCCGCGGGCCCCACGGCCCCCGCCGCCCCCACGGCACCAACGGCCCCGGCTGCTCCCTTGAGCGACGCCGCTGCCCCGGCCCGCATCGCCCGCCAGGGGGCCCGCGCCCCGCGACGTAGCTCGCCACAGCTCAGCGAGCGCCGCAGGCTCCTGTTTGAACGATGCGGTTAAAATTCGCTTCAACAGATTTATATACTATTTACTTTTTAAAATATCATTAAAATGAGCGAAAGGCATTTTAATACTGTGATACAATGTAAAGTTCATTGATAAACATGTACATGTATTGGGAGTTATTACGCACGAAACTTGGAGACTAATAATACTGATTCATTATTACCAACAGCCATATTTATACATTCAAAATCTGTTATAACGACATCGAAGGGACCACTCATATTTGGTCGTAAAAACCGATAGTCATAACAGCCGATGACGTTGTTATTAAGTACCTAATACAATAGAATTGAGCCGGGACCTTTGGTTTTGGTTAATATAACCTGTATGTTGTTCTAAACGATGTCGCCGTAAACGGTTTTGACTTAAATTACAAATACTAAATATTTTTTGAAAAAGCTTAAATGGACGATATTACAATGAATTTATTCGTAAATCGTCAACATATTGTGTGTAACATAATTATTATATATAATATATATTTATTAGATATCTTTGCATCTGAAATGAAAGTAGACTTAGAGTTAAACAATTGTAAAGATAAAAATGGAGTAATGAATATTTACTTGACAGTTTCAGTGGCTCTGTAGTAGAGGTCGTCGGGCGCGTCCATCCACGAGATCACGTGACGCCGTCCGCCGCGACCCGACAGACTTGTCGGCTTACCGTTCACCTGCGGATCGATACCAATTATTATATTTTGCTAAAATACAACAAAATTACGATATATTTGTTAGTTCTAGTATCATCGAGAATAGAGTAGATCTTTTTGTCCATGTCATGTTTATTGGTAGACGAATTAGCTATATACTAAAGATTAAAAGAGGAGCAACGTACATGTGCGAAAACGTGCGCGGGCAGCGGTTGACCCGTGGCCTGCGCGCGCGCACACATGGCCGCGTACTGCTCGCGCGACGGCCGCTGCATCGGCGCAGGGTGCTTGTTGGGCCGCTTGGCTGGCGGACCCGCCACTGCACTGGCGCCTCCTGGAACACCCGTGCTTATGACAACCCTTACCATCACCGCACTTACACACATTATAGGGCAATTTTCTAATTTTGATCTGACTTAGTCGAAACCATTTGTTTATGTGTGAGATGGAGTTGGATAATTTTTTAGTATGGCAATCTATTTAAGCTTGCTCAATTTCATAACTGCATTGACCCTACAATGAGATGATCCTTTTGATTTACACAAGGTATATTATAACTTAAGCAACATTATAAGATTCATCAAAATCAGTTCAGTATCACATCAGTGCAGTTTACACATGTCCCTTTCAAAAATGTCTTTGTAAACATAAAATTAGTGTTTATATTAAAAATGTATTTATTTTTATTAAATATATTTTGCAACTAGTATGAGTTTGTTTAGTTGTCCATTAAAAATAATAATTTTGATGGCGAACATGAATTTTATCGTTACCAATGTAAGATTCAATTATGGCAATATTTCATTTTTAAAGTAAAAAACCGAGGAAGTTACAGGTTTAGGTCGAACTTGATATTGCCCTAAGGATAGCTCAAAACAAGTCACGGCTTTGGGCTATACACAATGACCAACAAAAACAGGTGTCAACTGAGATATGTAATAGCCCTGTTGATAGTCGAAATGTCTAAAATTAACTATACTTATTTAAAGTTTTTTCTAGTTATAATTTCGTTAATTAAAATATTATGTATCCAAGAGATTATATTAGGTAAAGATTTATATTTAAAATATCTTATTTACCTGTTGCTATTCCAAGGTTAGCGAGCACAAAAAGTAATAAAATAAATATATTGCGTCGTCAATTATGTAATTATTATAATATTTAAAGATAATTTATTTTGAAAATAAAGCCATGCTTTTTTATAGAACAGGGGGCAAACGGACAGAAGACTCATCTGATGTTAAGTGTTACCATCACTCTCACTGCCAGAGGGCAAATGTGTTACCGGCCTTTTAAGAATTGATACGCTCAATTCTCAAAGAACCATAATTCGATACTTTCTATTGTATAGGGCAAATTTCCATAAGTGTTACCATGTTGAATGTCTGATATTTTATTTTACCAAAATATATTAACTTTCACTAAGCTTAGGTCTAAATAACCCTAGTTAATATGAAAACACAAATACAGTTGATTTAAATAGCTGATGAGCTCGATGCTATAAATTACTGATTTTTAATATGAAGATGATGATTAAATAGTTTACTAACTGTCGAGTCCGTTGATGTCGTCATACGCGCGTCGCTTGAGCGGCTGCGGGAGCGGGAGCGTGGGCGTATCTCCGCGTCTGGCCTCTATCTCCGCGCGGGACAGTACTCGCTCGTACATCAGGCTGCCATCTAGCGCAAACATTGATACATCAGTTGAAACTATTTGTTATTTTTATTAAATAAATTTATTCCATATTGTAAACTCTATGTAACATTTAAGTCTGTGGACCAGCCAAGGCTGTACATTATGCTCACTAAAGTTCTCTTAGTGCGGCGATTACCTAAATGGTCGGAGTTACGCCCCGAGAGTATAGGCAGACGCAGTCACTCTTTTAAGCATTGTAAGCATAGTATTTAATAGCATTATTCGTACGAGAATGTTATACATAGTTAAACTAATATCTTCTAATAATAACATCCCATTGACCCAGGAACCGTACATAAATTGCCTAGGGGCGGGATTCTTGTAAATTGATTTCCCCAAATAAAAGGAACCATACACTAACTAAAACGTCAAAATTTGACATAGATCGCTTTTCCTTAGTGACAATCTGTCAGAAAATAAACATTTCTTTCATCGTCGCTATAGAGTTTATACGGTAATAAAGAACAGATGGGACATAGAAGCTGTGAGGTCTTGTGAGGTTCCATTCCTGGGAATTGTTTCTGAAGAGTGAATGTAGTATCAAAATATATATGTCGATAGGGTTAAGAAACTTCAAATATATAACTATTGTCATTGTCATATTTACATGAAATTGACAAAATTAAAGAACGAGAAGACTTGTGTATAACACATACAGTGTCATTAAAATTATTGTGTGTAGTTCAATCACTTTTGAGCCGTGTCAAAGCTGTCAAACTTAGATAGATAGTCTAGAGTTGAGTCTATCTCCGTTTAACAATATCTAAAAACCAATAAAATGGGAAAGCTACCTGGCGCCTTGGGCGGTTTCGGGTACGCCACATGTTCGGGCAAAGGCATCCGGTCCTTGGGTGTCAAAATGAGCCATTCCTGCGAACGGGGTGCTGCAGCCCCATGAGCGGTCGCTAGTCTCGTGGCCACTGCGCCCACGGGACCACGAGACCGTATTTTGCCAGCTGCTCGCGTTTCGGCGCCGCCTGCGTTCATTGCCAATGTACCTGTGAAGTAAGATAAATTTAAAATATTTGTACAAAAGATTATCACTGTTTTAACTAAAACACTAACCTCACAGCGTGAATTTATTGTTTTTTTTATATGTATATAAAAAGTTTATTATTATTATAATAGACTTATAAAGCCAAAAAGTGTATTAATTATTGTGTAATTTTATGCGCCAACAAAAATCTCCAACAAAGATTCAGATATATTGTAAAATTAAAGATCCTTTTTACTAATTTTAAAAAATGTTAAGTAACATGAAACAGATAAAAAAAATAGTTTATTTAATAATTATTTCTAGATAAATAAGGGTGTCTGTGATTTTGGCAATGTGCTTATTTAAGTTAAATTAAGTAGTTCAACACATTGTAGTTAATTTATACAATTTAATATTTAATGTAGGATCGTTCTGGTTCAATCATCAATTAATTTAAAAAAAATTGAATTTAAAACTATTTCAGCACGGCCACGCCCTGTTCGTTTTAACTTTTTTATATAGCAAACTAAGGGTCTGTCCCGGCTTCGCACGGTAAGATATTTGTTGTATTAAAATAATATATATTCTATAGCCTATGTTCACCAGCGATAATGTAGGATTTAAGTTATATATATATAATAGTTTAGAGCTAAATTTTTTTCAAATCGGTCCAGTAGTTTTGGAGCCAAATCAATGCATAAAATAAAATCTTACCTTTTTATAATATTAGCATAGAAAAAAATATGGTGTATTTTGAAGTCGGTAAAAATTCTTAATCAGAAGCACTTACACTCATGTTTGACCTGATGCAGATTAATTGGCGAAAACGGTGAACGGGCGAAGTGCGTGGGGCGTCGCAACGCTCGAACTAGTCGCCTCGCAAGGCGCGTGAAGGGGGAGGCGCGGAGGTAGAACGCAGCCCGCGTCTTCATCACGGGCCGAGCGCCCTCGCAACCGCCGTGGGCCGTCGCCACGTGGCGGACCAGGTGGGCTCGGAGTTTGAATTCCTGTTTGATAAAACAAAAGTTATAAAAATAGGTGTATATTGTATGAAATTCAAAATTCAAAAATCATTTATTCAATCATAGGTACAACAACAATGTACACTTATGTACGTCAAAAAAGAAATGTATATGAAATACTTCTAATTTTACATTTAGTGCCAGTACTCAAATCAGCAGGGCTTAGAACGGAAGAGAAGAACTGGCAATAAACTCTCCGGCACTCTTTTTAATCGCCAACTTTTTTGTTTTACACAACGTTTTTTGAAAAGGAGCTGCAACCATTACACCATGTTCCACATGACATCTTAAGTAATAAATAATAATAACATAAATTAAAAACAAAGATTTGTCCTCTATCAGCAGGAGGCATGGTGAAATATTTAACTTTTTTATTTATATTAGGTCCTAACATATAATGGTTTTTACTGGCACTTTAATCAGATTTCTCCTTGGTAGAATCAAATTCAAATGTACAGCTTTTACTCGTATTTGTGCTTGATGACCGACCGACACTATTTTACAATGGAAAACTTAATATCATATGTACGATTCCCGGACTAGTCTGGGAAACATGAAGGGTGAATGATGTGTATGGCGGTCATGTTGCAAAAAAAAAAAAATCTTTTTGGTTACAACGTTTTCGTTCTGGAAATTTCGACCTGCAGAACAAGCCCGTGGACGGCCTGAGACCCTAGTTTTTATTTTTTTTATTTATTTATTTTAATCATCCTATAGAAGTTGGCGTGGTGGAAACACAAACTGGACACAGTTTTTCCTCCACAGGTCGTCGAAAATATTTAAATAATTAACCTATTACACACTCAGCAGTGACACACTATACAATATACACCCCCACCAATAACCATAAAAATCGCACGAACAACATATACCAATTGAAACAATGACGCTCCACGATAGAAACCTGTTCTTAGAGAAATTCTCATTCGAATACAATGTTATTGAATTTAATATTGAAATGAACTAATGACGACGTCTACTTTTAGTTTATATTTTAATTTTTGACTTATATAATTTTTTAATTTAAATTTATATTTTTCCTGTTAATTAGCAAATAGCGCACCGGTGAGTTTAATAGATTTGAATAATATAGTCTAATTTTTTTCCTATAAATTATTGTATTTTGGTAAAGAAATTTTTTTAATTTTCTTTTGTATATGATATGAGTTTTATTGTTTTAAGTAATTTCTGTGTAGTTTTCATTTAATAATGCTAGTGCACTTTCTCTTTATAGGTATAATTTTGAAAATGCAAATAGCTTTCTATATCTCTTAATATTTTATTTTGTAAGGAGCAATTGCTTTTAAAATATATTTGTATGAAAATATTTGATTAAGATATTTTGCATTTCTCCCATAGCTTGAAATCCATATTTATAATAGATTCTGTAGTGCTTTGTATAGCAGTAGCAGAGTATTGAGATATTTATTTTTATTTATGAATTTGGAAGTATGCTCTTAGCCTTTCACAGACAGAATTAATTCATTTTCCAAGACATTCGTCATCTATTGTAAGCCCCAGTATTTGTGTTATGAACTAATTCTAAGGCTTGCAGTTACAGTTGATGGGTAGATTATAAATTAAAATTGTTTTAAATAATGGTTAGTGGTTAATTTGACTGATGGATATGATGAACTTTGTTTTATTGATTTAGTACAAGTCCCAGTCGTGGACATTTAGATTATCGAAATCAATTGTACTTTGTTTCTGCTTCTTGTATTTAGCCCCAGGCTACTAGCATGTATCGTCTGCAAATTGAATATCTGGCAATTTATTATTTGTATTTTAACGTAGGTAATAATGCAAGGTCAATACTGGCTGAGCCGTACCTTTTTGATATTGGGAAACTTTCTTGTAATTTACACGATAGTTTATCTTGAATAGTTTTCACACCACTTGATTTCCTGTACTCCGCAGTATTTAGTTTTGTAGGATTACCTGTTTAATTTGAATGCCTTTATAATAATAAACACTACGAATTCCTTTTATTTAAGTCTTATAAATATATCTTATGATATAATTTTTTTTTTATTTGTTGAAATCCTATTTTTTTAGAAAGAATATTTTTTTTATAATAACTTTGAATTTCCAATTATTTTCAATTATTTTTTGATTTTGAGTATATTATTGGAGATAATTATGTAGTTTTTTATTTTTATATTACATATTTTTTAATATTAAATTTATTAATTTTATAAGATTAGTTATTTATTTAAAAAATTTTAATTCTATAGTTTATTCTATTTGAGATTTTTTTTAATATTTTTCTTTAAGATTTAGGTCTGCTGATGAAATCTCATACTAATATTTTCTGCTCGCCGGTATAAACTTTATCCAACAGTGATTTACAATTGTTGCAATTACTGATACTATTGTGGAAGGTATTGCAAAATTATTTGAATATCTTTAAGTAAATTTTACAAATATTTTTATACTATCAATGATTTTTAATTTTTCCTTTTTTTAATATATCCCTGATTTTTATTTTTTTATTTCTTTTGTTCTATTTTTATTTTTTATTATAATTTATTGACATAATTTTGGTTTTATTAATTTTTTTATATTAAGTTTTTGACTTTATATATTTTAAAATTATCTCTTAATATTTAATAATTCTATTATTAATCCAATTTACTTTTATGATTTAGATTTAAGTTTAACTTATTTCTGATTTTTATGCTTGATATTTATTTTGAATAATTTATATCAATAGAACTTCATTTTTGTCGCTTCAATCAATTTGCTCTAGAAGGTCTTAATTTATTTTTCAATAATTTTTTATTTGGAACATCCTGTAGCTGTCTTTAGTGCAAGGAGACGATCGCTCGATGGTCCGTGTTTTGTGCCAACCGCTGAGTGTATAGGTCTTTTTGGGATCGAGGTATATTGATCTATATATTTTTAACATTCCTTTGTATAGTTCTCCCTATGTATTTGTGATCCCACAATAAGGCCTAAACTGTTAATTTGAATATTTAGTTTTATAGGATGTCTAGCTTTAGGTTTATATTAACTCCCCTAGATACAAGTCTATATTTTCTGAGTTATCTTAATATATTTGAAGTTCGTCAATAAACAGCTCTTGCTTAGTAGGTGGGCGTAAATAGCACAAATATATTATTTGTTGTTGTAGTAAGATAATCTGAAATTTGTTTTAAATTTTATAAATTTATTTTCTTTAAAACTAAGATACCACCACCTTTCCTCTTTTTGAGCGCTGAGAACATTTGATATCCATTTAATTGTACAAAAACTATTCTATCAGAAATTTAACCTCTGTAACAAAATAACTCAATGTGTTAGCGATATAACATGCTCGAGGCTACAAAATATTTTATGATTGACCTTATATTTATTTAAACAACAGATTTAAATTTTGTGGTATTTTACTCAGAAATCATTTATTTTATACAGTCTTCTAATTCACAAATCTCACTAGTTAAACTATCCATATTAATAATAATAATTTATATCAATTTAATTTGGGCAGTTAATTGAATTCTTCTTTTTTTTTAAACTTGTATATAATATAGATCTTATTTCTTTTTCGTTTTATCTTTTCTTCAGAACCATACCGTTTTTAAACCAAACGTATTTAATTTTGTTTTTCTTTAATTCCTCTTCTTCCATAAAATTTTTTTGTTATTTGATGAATACTATTTTTTATTGTTGGAACATCGCCACATTTTAATTTTATTTAATCCACTTTTTGTTTAAGTAGTTTACTTTTGTTTTTATTATATTATTGGATATGAAGGGCTTTTAATTTTAATCTAATTTTCAACTAATTTTATATTCTCTTCCTGAGGGGGACGTTTGTATTTTATAATTAAAGTTTCTTCTTTCCATTCATGGAAACCTCTCCAATACCCTACCCTCATTGAGATTTTTTTTTTAATATTCCGTTTTTTCTTTCTAAGCTTTTTGTATTTTTAAAGGCATCAATACAACCTAATACTTCATCCAACTTCTACTGTGAAATTGCAAATTGTTATTCGCTTATTTCCTTCTTTTAGTTTTTCCACCTCCTTGGAGATTTTATGTATTAGCCCCTTAGTGTCCATAGGTATATCCTCCTCTGCATCCTCTGTTAGAAACAAAGAGGAGTTTCGCTTGGGGATTCATGCTGCATTCCATACAAGTCCAATCTAGGCTTGGGGCCGCCTTTAATCATTATCTGTTTGTTCGTAAGACCGTGCATTGGTATTTAGGTGTACCATTTTTTCACATCGGGCACATTTACATCCGGGCATCGATTTAGAAAAGTTTTATTACATTGGTCACACTTCGAATATTAATTGTCTTGATAAGCTCGGCTAGTTATTCACTGACGCTCTTGACGACTATTGAAGAAGTATTGAAGGCTATTTGGAAGCGTTTTCTCAAATCTGGCCAGACTATTACGGCTGATGTCTATTGTCAGCTATTGCAAACCATGATGGAAAAGCTAGCACTAAACAACCTAGGCTGGTCAATCGATCTCGCCACTCTTCTTCACGACAACGTAGACCACACACTGCACAACAGACGCTACCAAATTAGAAGACTTCAATTGGAATGTCTAAGACATCCTCCGTACTCCCCGGACCTTCTCCAAAGATTTTATTGATTCCCGTCCATTGTTTTTTTATAAAGGATCTGAACTACCTATGAGATGGCAAAAGTGCATAGAAAACAATGGCTCATACTTTGATTTTATATTTTAAATATAATTATATTATATTTAAAAATATTCGACTTTTGTTCCTCCCATACAAAACGCCAATTTCATATTAAAGACCTAATATTATTTGACATTATACACTTTGGTTGTTTTCTTTGTATATACTTTTTTATTTTAACTGCTTACAAATATTTCTAACTAAATTTTAAGAACAGTTTTAATTTATTGAAATATCATTATCATATCAATAATTTAAATAATAAAAAATACACTTAAAATTAGAGCAGTATAATCTTGATTTAGCTTCTATATGTTGTACAAACTATATTTTTTGATAAGGGTAGGTGATCACGTTGTTAATCAGTCAAGATCGGTACACACTGTTCGTTCATGTCGTTTAAAAAAAATATATTTAAAAATACCTTCTACTAAACGATTGAGATTTATTATTTAACAAAAAAATCAGAAGTACCTGGGTTCGATTCTCGACCAAAAAATATTCAGAGTTAAAAGCAAACACTTTCCTAAAAATAGTCAATAAACGACACATCCCAAGTAGATTACTTCAAAATTACCTTAGCGCAGTTAAGCACAGTGCAGCGATGCGGGCGATGTGAGGCGGACAGGCCTCCCTCCTCAACGGCCCGATTGGCGCGATTCGAATCCACTTCGCTCTCGCCGAATACACCTGCCGTCTGCAAATAAACAAATTTAATACTACGCTTTTAAAATCAGGATAGTAAACCAGAATCTTAACCATACGGTCGTGCGTTCAAATCCCGGACAAATTCTCATACCTTGGAGAAAAATAATAAAGTAACGGTCATATCTAAAGGTCAAAAATGTATTGGATTTGACGTACGTAATTCATACTTAGAGGTAAGTCCCGACTCTGAATCATACCCTTAAAAATATACAATATGTTATATTTAAAGGTTTTAGTGGCCTTCATTTCACATCTTGATTCACGCTTTTGTCACAACAATGGTCAGAGAATGAACTAAGTTATACAGAATACATATTTATAATAATAATAAAATTAAATAATAATAAATAAAAATAATACATATTACAGGAGTTCAATTTCATTAAAAAAATTAAAAGTCAAATAAACCAAAGAAAAAACGATACACTGAAGAATACATATTTATTTAACCATTACTACGGACGTTGGCATATTATCATGCTAGTATAATTGTATATATACATACAAGTTAAGAGATTTAATTTCATAAAAATGATTATTATTCTATATTCGATTGAAAATCAAATAATTTAACAAATGCTTAACTTAAAACTTAAGCTCGCTAAAATAATAAGCTATTTTTGGATATTTAAGATGAAATTACCTTGAGGCCTCCATATTTCTTCCAATATTGCCAGCAAGTGCCACACAACCTGTACTGCAAGTGTTGCGGACCCCACGTGTACCATTGCGACGAATTCGTTACTGAAAAAAAAGTCATTGGATTTTGTGTTTTTCGCTTACATTATAGAATTTACTTTCCGGTTTGGTTCTGTACGTGAATTTTTTTTGTATAAGATGACAATTCGACGAGTCATTATTCAAGCGATACATAGCTACAAATACCGTAAAATCTTAAATAATAATTCACGATAATTCTAATAAAAAACATCGGTATCAAATGAAATATATCGAAGAGTCAGTCACAAAATAAATATTTCCGCAACATAGCATCATGTATAGTTAGTGATCCAATAAAAAAAATAGTTACAATATACACGGAGGCCGTTCAAGTATTACGTAAGCATTACAAGGGGGAGTTATTATTCACTTTTTATATACAATATTTAAAACACACTCACATGCAAAACGAAATGCATTTTCGAGGAATCCTATAAAAAATTAATACGTTTATGTACTATTATTTGGGAGCTTTACTTACTTTTGTAACTTTTTGTACTCACATAATACTTGAACAATACCTTTACAGTTAGCAATACTTTTGGTAGCAAAAAATAAATAAGATTTAGGTCAGAATCTCATTGCAAATATGGCTGAATGCTGGCGTTTCATGACATATAACAATATCATTAACAGGCGAGCCAAACGTTTTATGTAATAATATGAATAATAAAGACTTTACGATTCAGTCACGACTCAAATAGGTTATATATCTATATATATAAGAAAAATGGTCTTCGTTTGAGGCTCCTTCACGCCTAAACCACTGATCGTATCGACATGAAACCACTGCCATGATGGTTTATGGCTATTTATTTTTAAAATCCAACGTTCCTTCATTTTTTTATTACTATTTTACTTTTATGAAAATTTATACATACAGACTTCACCGTGGAATCATTCGGGGAGGCTTCCTAGAACCTCAATACGTCAACATCTGTTAAAACTCGATTTTCGAAAATTTTCAATTTTCTTAGCGGGAAGTTAAAAAGAAGAATAATAAAAATAATAATGAAACATTAAATTGTATTTATTTACTATTTTAATTCGCCCAGCGAAGCGGGCGGGAAACGGCTAGTATATATATATATATATTATGTATACATAGTTACCTTGGCAGGAAGCACAAACGGTGGGTGCGATGGCGGCAGTGCCGTTGGTCCCGCCGTTGAGGACTGTCCCTTTGCCGTTGCCATTGTTGCTCGTTATGAGGGCTGGGTTCGGCTTGTTGCTGTAATTTTATGCGGAACGATTTAATTATTGCAAATTAAAAATTTACAAATTATAATTATAAAAAGCGTAAAATAAACTTATACTTCACGAGGTGGATAAACATATTATAGGTGGATTATAAAGATAAATTCTGATTTAATTCATAGTCAAAAATCATTGTATTTTGTCTTGGTTTTTGCATTTTTCCATTAATTATTTATTATTAGCAGACTTGACAGGTCGATTTACCAAGTAATTTAAAAAGCTTGTTTTTAATGGTAGAATTGTCAGTGTGTATAGACAAATACGAATCCAGCCTTGTGGGAGTTTGACATGGAGATTTTTCTAAATTTTGCTAATATTATTTCATGCCATAACTATTTTGTCATCTTCAAACATGTCTATACAAATATTATAAAGAGGTAAAGTTTGTGAGGTTGTTGGGGGTAATCTTTGTTATCTACTGAACCATTTTTTTAAATTATTTATCAATATTTGTGAGTACCGTAGGGTACATTTTAACCCGAAAAATTAAAAATCTTTTTCGTGGTGTGTGAGTGAAAACGGTCGAACGAAAACGTTCCCTACAAACGGTATATGATTGAGTTCTAGAGAAAAGTTGTAAAACTTCATAATCCCTACGAATATATCAAAACTCGCGATAAACTCAAAAACTATACTACGGTTTTTGCCAATATCTAGAATGATGAGGAAGATTTAGGTATATAATTTTTCAAAGTTTACTGATAGTTATATATATAGTATATATATCGTCCGTGGGCAACGGTTGTTAACAAAAAAAATTGCGTACTGGTTCCGCGAATCTACCCTCAATTTCAAACATAACAATAAGCAAATGAATATAATAGACAAGAGAGACTGTGGTGGGTACAAACACTCACTAGTTGGGAATGTAGACCTGCTTCAGCTTGGACTCGGCTTCCACCGCCTTCACACGTTTTTGTTGCACATAGCGGTCCGTGGTCTTCCACATGTAGTAGTATTCAACTAGGTTCTTTAGCGTCTTCCATGGCAACTGTATGAAAAACATTGATTTAGAGATACAAGTTGTATATTGTATAATTGGTAAATTACAAAACAAAAGACTTGGGAATTAAAAAGAGTGGCGAAGAGTTTATTGCCAGTTCTTTTCGTCTGTTCTACGCCCTTGATTTGAGAACTGGCAGTAAAATTAATTTAGAAGCATTTAATATGTGTATTTGATTTTATTAACGTTCATAAGTGTACATTGTGTATTGAATTTGAATTAAGAAGTGAAAAAACTACTACACTGTGCCCATTTATCTATTCTAGTAACTGCAATAAATTTCTCATACTTAATAACACTAATAAATTTTTTTTTCCTTTTTCCTTAGAATTTTTCATTAAATATATTTATTAAACTATTATTTTTTAGTTCTTGTTAAGAAACATGATTTAAGTTTAAGACAAAACAGACCTTTACCAAATTTAATTACAATAAAATAAAGTTTAACATAAAACTCTCTCAATCAGCAGTATCTGTACAAATTTCCATTTTACACACAAGAAGATATCACCGATTTATTTATGTGATAAGTTAAGTTGTATATAAGTTGAGTTATTAAACTCAAAATAACTTTATTCATATGGGTAAACAGTTAGTGTACTACTAATGAACGTTAGGATTAGGTAAGATACTCACAAAGTCCTGCCGTATATCAGCAAAGTCCTTCCCATACTTGTCGAGGGCCTCTTCAAAGAGGTTCGCTTCTGAGGCCGACCACTCTTCCATCTCATCCCGGCACAGCACTGGCCCTGATGCAGGCACAAGTGAGGATAGAGCTGACTCTATGCTGTACCCGCTTTTGTGGAGTGTGTCCATAGCGTGGAACTGTAATAAATAATTAACTATAAGCAAAATATAAAACTGACTGCTTATTTATTATTTAGTAGATGTCTTCTACGGTTTTATCCGCGTTGATTCGTACCCGTACTCTTTCTTCGGAGAACAATCTCGTGATAGCACTAAAGCAACGGAGAGAAGTTTTTCAAAAATAAATAATTATCCAGTATTTAATAGATTCCTATACATTTGTTTTTTTCTAATAGGCGATTTTCTAATAGGTGATTCCTTCATCGTACGATCGCTTGTCGCGAATATATAGCACATAGCAATTCCATTGGCGCACAGCCGGGTATCGAACCTACTAACTCAGGGATGAGAAGCACATGCTGAAGCCAGCTTTAGTTTTATATTGGTAAAATCGGTTCAGTGTAGATAAACAGATCAATGATTTTTTAAAATTATGTATGTAACTTGATTTCGCACTTAGACCATAACAACCACGGTCCGTGTGAAACGGACACCAAATATGTCTCCTTTATATATCTAATATATAAAATGAAATTCTCGTGTCGCGGTGTTTGTAGTTAAACTCCTCCGCAACGGCTTGACCGATTCTCATGAAATTTTGTGTGCATATTGGGTATGTCTGATAATCGGACAATATCTATTTCTCATCTCCCTTAATGTCCTAAATTATATTTTTTAATTTTTAGATAAAATTTTATATTTTTATGATACAGCATTAAAAAATACATACAACCCCTAATTTTCACCCCTCTTCGATCAACCCCTATTTTTTAATTATAAATAATATACATGGCAAAACGACGTTTGCCGGATCAGCTAGTGTATATATAAATACTCTTAAGTGACTATACAGTACTCACAAGTGTAATGTCTCGGCTGGCAGCGGCTGCGGACATATGCAATGAGGGTTGTTTGACACTGGATGAACAGTCAAGGGCTCGCGCAAATGTCCCCACTGAACGTGACACTACTAGAAACTGGTCAATCTGTCGGTCCGTCAATCCATGTTCTGGTGTCCACACTAGCGTTTCTAACTCCTCACTGTTTCTTGGGTCCTCTTCGCCTGTAATTTGTGGTCATCCTATTATTGGAGGGTACTTATAAACGAAATAAGTTGTTTTTCAACTTATTAAATGATTTAGTTAGCATTCTACCCATTTGTACTAGTACAATTATCCGTGGAGCACAATTTTATATAAATATTTTATTTACTTCTTAAACCCATTGAAAGTTTGCTGATATTTATCTAAGCTCAAAATAAATAATTTATGAGACAGTAAATATAAAAATATATTACTTTTTGAATACAAAAAATTAAGTGATATTTGTCTTACCTTCTTTTAATAAATTAGTTACTTCAGTCTGATATCTACTTCCCACTCTGATTTCACCCTTATCTGCTAATAAAGTCTTTTGTGAAGGATCGAATACTAAACAATAAAAAAATGCGTCCTGAAACAAAAGAGAGAGGTGTATTAATGATATGTTATATCACTTATTATCCTAACTCTGTACTTAGTAGTTAACGATTGATGTTTCACTAGAAACTCCTTGATTAGACTCCCGGTAGGAAAACAATGATCACCTACATTCCTCTTAACTTGTCTATTACTCTCATACTATAGAATTAACACTATTTATAAATACGATATGGATCTTTTGCCTTCACTAAAAAAAAAACAATATATTTAAATATTGGCACCTAAAACAAATTCTAATTGATATAGAAAAAGTCCTGATAGGGCCCTTTTACACCAAACATACCACTAAATTTACATTGCTTTATATCAAGTCAAAATATATTTATTTATGTTACTTACTGTACTTTGAACATACATTTTATTAAAAAGAAACATAAAAAATTTAGTTCTCCAATCAAGAGTCAGAACGGGCTAGAAAAACCGGCAAGAAACTCTCCGGTACTCTTTAATCACAAAGTACTTATTTAAATTATAAAAGATTCTTATAGATTTAATGACTGGCGAAAAGTAGAACTATTGGATTGATGTGAATATTTATTGACTTTTAAATGTAGCAGATATATATATGACATTTTAGAACTTACTGATATTATTATAAAAGCTCAAATAACGGTAATTTGGAAGACATTTCTGAGTATTGACTTTCAAATTCAGGTAGGTTAGTAACAAAGTGCTTCACGGTCTAGCGAACACAAATTCTTCCTATGTCCTTGCATGACGTATCGATCCTTACATATATGTAATATGTGAAGCAGGAAACACAGACATTGATACGAGATAGGACGGTAAGTGCATGCTCATTTCCTTATTAGTTCGCGTTCATCATACTATTATTGTTACTCTTGTCGCCGGGATAGCTTGTTTTATATAAACATGGGGTGGGGTGGCAATTTGGATTGTTCATATACACCATATTCGTTACAACTAGTTAAATGTCATAATACTGTGTCTTTTTGTCACTGAGTAAGACATCTTGACAGAAAGAGACAAATATAATTTAGTCAAACATTCTTATGTAAAATGTTAAAATCACAGACGTAACATTTTGTTAAATAATATTTGTTTTTAATCTTGCTAGTGCAATGATAGAATTTTAATATTCCATTTGGTGCGTTAACAATAACAGAATCTAATTTAATGTGTAAAATCCGATAACCACGAAGAATATAGTCTTTTTAATTTTATTTTATGAGATTTTGACAGCATAGCCCCCAAAAAACTCCGTAGCCTAGTTAAATCACGTGACGTATAGCCTAAATTTGGATTCCCTACTTTATTCAACCTATATATTTTGTTAAATTATAAAAAAAAATCAGACGCAAATATGTAAAAGTCCATTGGAAGCCAAACAAACACCAATGTCGATCTAGTTCATTATGTATGAAATAGCGGTTCCACTCAGTTTCAGTTCAAATTTATTATTTTACATAACATGTCTTATTTTATGTAAAAAAAGATGCGTCCACGTTTCCGTTGTCGTGTTCGCGGTACATACTCACATCCTTATTGAGATAGCTGAGCAGCGACTCTGTCTCGTTGAGTAGGGTCACGCTGCACTTGCCGCGTATGTGGGTAGCCGGCAGTGTCTCCACGTGCCGTGAGAGGAAGAGTTCCCGGTGCTTGGCCTGGTGCCGCTGCTTCGGCGGCATGCCGTCTGTGCCCGGTAACTCGCTAGATTCCTCCTCCATTGCAACTGGAATGTCAGTAGAGATTATTAAACACCTTCATCCACAAAAGGTTTTGAAGTATTTATTTTAAATTTCTGTCCACCAAACTATGTTTTTACATAAGACTGAAAGATGAGTAGGTACTTTAGATAAATGTATGACTGATTTGAATATATGAGTCAAAAGGGATATTAAGGGTACATAGTTTCTGTGGGACAACGAAAAGAACAGTCTCACTCTTGAGCAGATTGTAGTAAAAGAGTGCATTTTATTCATCAATGCTTTATATTTATACCTCTTTCATATATCCTATGCCAACGTTATTATTATATCAAATACAACATAACATATTTTTAAGTTGATCTGCTCGTTGTGTACGCCACAAATGATTGCAAAAATATATTTAACCAAATATCTTCACCGGTTTTCACTAAACAGGTATCGGTTGCATGTAATATTTTAAGTATATATTTACTTGTCATTCCATATATTGTAAGTAGGGTATCTATGATGAATCAATGTGCAAACGATGTTATCTTACACATACATAATATACAGCAAAATTAAGATTGATTAATAAGATACATTCATGAAATATATCAATAAAAAACAAGTTATAGTTAATGGGGGAATTAGCCTAGCCTAGTAGGTTTGGACCATAAAGATATATTATAATGTATGCAATTAACACCTTCTCATACGGTAAAGTAATACAGCATATGAACCCAATCGCAACTAGAGAGGATCTATGTGTTGTCACTGTGTAATATCTATTTCTTAATTTGACGGTTGAGATATTATGAGAGAATATTTTCTTGATCGAAACTCAAGCTAATATAGTTCAGTGTAAGAAATCATTATATTTACCGATTATGTAATCATTGTATTATGTAATAAAAACGGCAAACAGACGTAATAAAATCAATTGGTGTGATGTGATTTATATCATTTATTTTTCGCTTTATAAAAACGGGAACACAAAACTCATTTGGTATTGGTAGAGTACCAACCAAGTTATAATTTTAAAGTATTAAAGTAAATGTTCACGTTAGCTAGTAAAAGTAAATGCAGTAAACATTTACGTGTATCAATTTCTGGCCCAAAATAGGAAGACCTTGAGATTGAACACGCGAAGAATAACATACTTGTAAATAAATATGTGATTTATAACATTAGTGATTAGGTTTATTTTTATTTAACAGAAGATGAATGTTTAAGGTATAAAAATTATACGTAAGATTTTTAATTTTACTACCTTATTAAAACACTATGAAATAATTAGATTAACTTAGTTTAATTTTGCCATAATCTAATGCCAATTCCATATCAGGGAAGATTCAGGAGTCGGGTCGCAGCGCTAAGAAAGTCCTGTAATTCATACATTGTTTTTTGTTATATGCACGTGAAACGTCGGGACTATTCTATAATGTTAATTAAAAGCAAATTTTCTATGAAAATATAGAAGAGTACGCGCCATTATTTGACACAAATACAAGCATTTTCGTAACATTTAAAGACAATATAATTTTATCAGAGTACGCTGGAATATTAATTAAGCCAGCGAGAACTGGTTTCAGCCGGTAACACAAACTGTATTGAGGTTCGATTATAGTAGGATTACTTACTATAACTGGGGAAGTGACAAAGGACAGAAACGTAGGGTCAGCCCGCGCTATGGCAGGTGTGCTTTGCCTCGGGCAACTATTGAATGTGTCTAGCATAATAGATCGCATTTAGAAGTTTCTATTGATTTTGATTATATAGGTTACATAGAAACTGTTTTTGAGCGGGACCAAACTTTTGTCATTTTGTCAGACATGTGTGTTCTAGATAATTTGTGCTAAACGTTAATTTATCTGGCAAATTTAATAAAGTGTAATACATACATTGTTGGATTATACGTTGAGTACGTATAAGAATTTGTACGCAGATTTTTATGACGAAATGTACCCGTATATTATTAATTGTTTCTTTTGAATATAATTATTACTACAAGAAATACAAGTATCACAAGCAGGATTGCGAATATCTTAAGAAAACGGAACGTCGCTATTCCATTACAGAATGCCGTACTTGTAAGTACTATATAATCTCCAGAGTCCATCATAAGATCAGCTTAATGAAATCAATATACAAGATTGCTATCGGAATTAAACACTTTTATCAACCCAGAGGATGACGCGAATATACGACATCGTAGTTCTTTACTAGCAATTATTAAAATGCGCATTCTATAGAAATCCACTCGAAGCATTATGTTGGCAAACTTCAGCCAGTAAACCGTTGAAAAATAGAAAAAGTAAACTCGTTAATTAGTACCAAAATTTTGTAAAACTAATTACTTGATAAAAACTAAAGGCGTCGGCCAAAAGCAATTAGGTCATGTTAATAATTCAGCACATAAATTAAAATGGTGATATCGGGGACCGGTTTCAAGATGGCTTTTGGTAATGGTTCGAGGGGTGAGTAACTACTGACTAGCGACAACTTAAGGGACAGATTCTATACAGGCGATTTATAAAAGCTAGACGCGTACACGCGTGCTAAATGTTCTATTATATACCAGTATGTAAATACGTTGTATTAAGTAACGATAAATATCTATAAGTCACCAGATGGTGGCGATCTGTCAAGTTTTTATGAGGCCAAAAAAAGAATAAAATTTAAAATAATCACTTAACCATGGTGGTTTTTGGGAATTCGAGACTACGAAATTGCTAGCAAAATAAACATTGAAGGATCGTTATGAAACACATCGTCAAAGTATGTGAGTGTATTATAGGCATATCTGCAATAACAGACCATTTAGCCAGACATTTTAGTGCGTACACTAATTCGCTATTTAGTAATACGCTATTAAGTGGTATTAGTAGCTATATTTTTATTTGTTCGACCACACTGGTATAGCTATTCTGAAGAGAATATGTAATTAAATCTTGAGACAAAGCACTCGAGAGGCATTCCCGACTTTCCGTTCCTTTTCACATTGTGGAATATTGCACTTGTTATAGATCTCGTTATACAATCAGTGTAAAATTGTATCCATATACCTATGTTAAATGAAAAGAATTTTTCAATAAGTTAATTACTTCAATGCGCTGTAAAACGTTGAATTGAATTATTAATTGATTTCGTTGATTACAAAGACGCACATGTCAATATATATGAAAATCGCATTTATTGAACTGGAATTTAATAATATTGACATGTATTAGAAATCGGTTTAATTTCCCTAAATTACTTTATATGTTTATTTCTTAATAGTAATGGTACATGAAGAAGATAAGCCTATACTTATAACTTACTACGTAGGCTTTGTAAGCGTCTACTTGTTGGGCGCATTTCTCCAGGGGCGGAAGGGTCGCGGCCGAATTGTGGGGGATTTATTTTATGATAATTATTTCGATTGGCTTCGCGTGAAAAGGCATAAAAGGATCGCAAATATCTTCTGCCTCACTCGTATTATTTCTAACAATTTACCCGCATTTCTCGTATTTTGTTCACATTTTTTCGATATCTTCAACAAATCGCACATATCATATTTTAGTCAATTAACATAAAACGCTTTTATTTACTTATTCAAGTATGCATGCCCTACTTAAATATAATTAAACCTTTCTCATGTATTACATTGGTCAAAAGTCAAAACCTACCAAACAGTTTAGTTTATCGTGTTAAAACAACAAACAGACAAAAAAAAACAGAGAATTAATTGTTTAATACGTGAGATTTAATTATGAAATCCACACAAATTTCACAGTATTACATAAAGTCAAGAAAGGTAAACAATTATTCTAAAATTGTGTCTTGTCTTTCAGCTGTGAGACACCTAATTTGTGAGTCTAGTCTAGACAGTACCTACAGCACATATGGAATAATTTAGTATTTTATGCAAGCATCTCTTATATAGAAAATCCATATAAAAAATCAAGTTTATCTTCACAACTCCCGAAACAGGACAGTTTTAAAGACTAGGGAAATTAACCTGTTTTATTATTTGACCATAATGTACCAATTTAAAACTTAACGGTACATGAAAATTTGCAAAGCTCGCGGTATTCTAAGTAACTATAACCTCGAAAATGGTATGCAAAGCAATGTCTTTCTCATGAATATCAAACATTATGTTACGTTCCGTTGCCAGGACGACTTCCTGTTTTGTACTTAATGTCTATCTTTATTTTATTAAATAGTTTAGGAATAACTAAAGTTTTTTATTGCATTCAATGGTATCTGGACCACCATTCTTTAGTCTTAAGTAATATTACGCAACAATAGCGTATGTAGCTGGTAACTATTTGGCTTTCTGCAATAGAACACGTATTACACACTTCCAAGGAGATTCAAACTGTTTTTGAAAAAAAATAGCATAGATACAAAATTATTATAATCAGTAGGTCAAATATCGGCGATGTTTTTTTTATAGTTGTAACGTGTGGAGGTAGAATTTAGGTTACAAATTTTAAAAACTATCATACAGGGCGGCGTATCATTCCCTATCTAATCTCCCGCGTTGGTGGCAATGTCATCGAAGATTCAAGATTAAGCTATAATAGAATAGCTTTGTTCAAGCCTGCCTTATAAATTTTATTATCTCCGGGCCGAGCTTTTATGAGGAGTTTTCTAGTAGACGTTATAATAGGGAAACGACTAACAGTCTTCGGAGCTCACAAGTTCCTAAACTAGTTGATGTTTACGACTTTGTCTACATTGAAGCTTTAGAACGAAGTAAGATTAGATCATGTCAGATGTAACCAGCAAGTAGATAATAAAATATAAATAATTTCGTGATTTTTCGGGGATACCATATCGGGCAATTCAATAACACGGGATTATGGTTCCACTCGCATCACTACGCAACTAATTAAAGCGTAGGCAAAGAGAAAATGGCAATCTGTGGAGGCCCCCGCTAGTGGGGGGTTGTTACGTGTGCCCCCTTAGGGTGGTCGGGTGTATGGTTTTTCTACTCGGGCATCCTTTGCTTACTTATTGATCCAGTCAAATGTGTGGAGGTGGCGCGG